AAATTTTAATCAGGGGGTACTAGGAATCCAGGGTGGAACACAATTGTTTCTCGAGAAAGCACTGTGTTGAATCGGTCAAAAGCATAACTAGCTTTTGACTCACTTGAAAATTTCGGGGTAATCCGACTACTTGTACACCTGAAATAAAAGGGGACTCCAAAATGCTCCGCATAGACAGCTCCACTGCTCAAGCTACAGACATAAGCCCATCCATGAAAGTTTTATAATTTATGTTTCTGTTCACCTGTTCTCCAAACGTATAACAGCTCTTCTTTTTTGGCCTATCTCCGCTTTAGAACCATAAACTCTCGCCAGTGACTCGTCTGGTGATTGAGATAGTGCGCCGCGGTTCTGCACAGAATCTCGTAATTGTACGTTCCGGTCTAACTCTCACTAATCGGCTTTCACCCCATCTTGCGCTCGAAGTTGGCCTCGCCCATACCCATTCCCTTCCGTCATCCCCCGCCACTGCCTCCGCTGTTGAAGAACCTGGCACAACGGCAGTGGTAGTGCGGAGCGGAGTCCGCCTGGCTTTCGGTGAAACGCGCGCCCTCCCCCTCAGTCTGGCTGCGCGTAGCAACAGAGACGGCGGTGAAAGGCTTTGTTTCCGACCTGTCCTCGTTACAAACGGAGGCGCCGATGACACCTCTCATTCCGGCATGCTTTTTGATTGGTCGCAGCAACTTTGCCTTCGACACTTCGACCAACTTGGAACTGCGGAAGTCGAGATGAGATTTCCTTCCTCATTACAGGAAGTGATGGACTGGAGGCGGCTCACTAATCCTGGTCAGCAGTAACATTGGTTTTCTTCCCCGTTGCTGGTAAATCAGCTCTCCACTCACCACCCTCTCTTTTCAGGTGATTTTGATGAGTGCGTAATGGTGTGTCGCCGGCTTAAATCAGGCAGCGAAATTGGTCTCTACTCAGCAACCGTAGCTTCACCTAAACACTCCACAGTGGGTTCCGCTCAGAAGCAGCTGCCGTGGCTTTTTTGTGTTGCTGCTGTGCGTGACTCCTTCCCACCTGATCCTCTCTTTCGTGAAGGTTATTTCCAGATCTGTTTCTGCCCTCTCCTCCACACTGGCTTCTTTTTTCACCGGATCTTCTTTGTCTTTGTTAACTAGTGTCTCTCGTTCTACCCGGCCATCATCTGACCGTGGGACCGGCTCTTCGTATCGTTAATCTCTTACCGTGTGACCTGACCTACTTCATCGATGGTACACCTATTAGTGCTCGCCTTCCTGCCAACAAGGCTGCCTCGGTATTCGAGGTCAGCTGTACTGATGCGCTCCGGTTCGGTGTGCATTTGGAGAACTTCCAGCGCTGCAAACCCATCCGCATTCCTCCTGCAACTTTTTCTGACACTGTCCTGATCAACCTCTTTGATCAATTTGGAAGGCTGCTTCAAATAAAGGTCCATTTTCTTTATTCCTTCCTTATTGTGAAATCCTTTAACCTATTGGTAATTTTTTATCAATTCAGGCGGAGGTGTATACTCGAGCTCTCGGCGCGCGACACGTAACTCTCTCCGCAGTATGTTGGCTTATCAATCACTCGGGTCTGCCGCTGGTCTTCGCCGCACAAGCACCCTCTTCCCTGGCCTCTTTTCCAGAGTGGCAGACTCTTGGATCACCGGAACATCGGTCGCTGGCTGCAGGACAGTCAGAGGAACAGGAAGTAGCACGTCTCGCCTCGCCTCTTCTTTTTTCTCCAGCTACTACCGCTGCCGTCTCTGGTAACTCCACCGGAGTCGGTGCCGCGGGTGGTGGTGGCGGAGGTAGGGTCGATGAAAGTGGTAGTGGTCGATCGCACGTTTCGTGGAGTCTGCAAGTGCGTCTTGGTGCTTTCTACAAACCCACAGAGGGTAAAGACGAGGACGATGGGCCCTGGCTGCCGCGATGGAGCGCGCCGGTGGCACTGAACAAGACCGGAGATGCACTGATGCTGCGCTTGAAATCAGTGGGGATGGAATCTCGCCCCGACCTGCTCTATAGTGTCGGTGTGGAGGTTCGAAAGGGTGTGGGTCTCCATGACACAACAACTATTGTCACCTTTGTGCCCCGGTTCATGATCAGCAATCAAACCAATTTTCAGCTGCAATTTGCTCAGCGATTCTGTCTGGACTCCACGACGCATAAACCCAGTAAGTTTGACCGATGTCACCGAAATTTATGCTTTTTGACCACTCTAGTAATCTGCTTCCTGCGCTTTTGAGGATCCGCTTAAATTCTGGTACTGTTCTTTGATTTAAATAATTTTTTGAAGAATGAGTGCTATTGGTCATATACCGAGGTTCATTTAAACTGTACTTCATTCCTGTTAGATGAACTTGGGTGTGGCTCTTTACCTACTAGGAGTTTTGCATCCACGTAGCACGTGACACCTTCATCGTTTTAAGAAGGGAATGCCATGGTGTGGGAACCTTGAAGCCACAATGCATGTTATATCCTCGATTCTAAGAATAGGTGTCCATTGACCGCTCAACCATAAACTCATTCACTGAAACGGTGCAAATAATTTATTTCTATTGGTTTGGAAGAATGGACTTCTATTTTAACTACTCACTTGTTTCAAAACTGATGTTTGTCTTTGAAAACTGGATTAGGCTGAGATTTATTCCGTAGTCACTGCACACATTGAGACGCCTGTATGGATTTGCTAAAGTGTTTGTTTCACTTTACAGTGAACATCCATCCACAATGCAGATTACCTTTCCACTGGCCTCGGCAAGATCTGGATCAGCTCCTGTGCTTCCGCGCTCTCATCCGTGGCGAGACTTGTCTGTCCAATCGACAGACTGACGCCGCCCTCATTGCTACCCACTGGTCTGGCGGGGTGCAGATTGATAAGCCTCGGTCCTACCACCTTATGCTGCGGTGAGTCCCTGCTTTCATCTGATCAATCTTTTTAATCGCCAATCTCTCCACTATGTCATCTGCGTCTTTCCATTCACCTATTTCTACGTTCTGAGACTTCATCTACCCAAGTAGGGTTGCCGATAACACCTGAACGGGTGTGGGGGAAATTTTAAAGATGCTTCGCTTAAAGATTATGATTAAATGTCTGCCCGATAAGGAGAGCAACCCAATTTGCTTCCGCGTCTATCGGTGTGTTGCCCTTTGCCAAGCATTCCCTCTGCCTGCCTCTCGGGAAAAAAAATAAAATATTAGGCGTGTTGAACCATTCTTCTCCACGTAGGATGCCAACACGTCCTCAAACGGGGTCCTCGATATCGATATCGTCCCCAGAAGAGTCACTTTTCCTCCGCATCGATGTGGTGCTCCGCAGCGCTACCCTCTTTGTTATCATTAGCGACGCTACCCACCTGCCTCCACCCTACCGAATCGAGAATTGCAGTCCTGTCGCCCTTTACTACCAACAATCCATCGACAATGGCGGGCTTGAGGCTCCACCGCCTGCGTCACCCACTTCCATACGCAATACCAACAGACGATGGTTTGACAGCATTCCCCTAAATCGGCTTCCACCTCGATCCATGATTAACTATGCGCCAGAGGAACCCCTTCTTCCACCTCGTCTTTCTGTTGGAATTCATGTAAGTGCCGTCAAAGAGATATAATTGAAAGATTGCAAATTCCACTAACCTTCCTTTCCTATTTCACTTCAGGGTGACTTGAACAATTTTTACGATCTCTCCAAGCTGGGGCCGGGCTCCCGTTTGGTCTACGACAATTGCGTCTACATCGGTATCAGTGGTGTTGCCGGGGACGATAGCCGAAGCCTCCCAGACTCTCAAATTAGTCAAGATTCGGGGAGCTATTTTCCTGTCTTTGACGTGGTCACCGAGTCCGAGAAGGTACGACGCGTAGTGCTGCGCAAGAAACAACCCGGTGAGCGCTCCCAGCTCTGGTACCTCTCTAGTCAAGGGTTCCTAGTGCACGAGGGTTCCACAGCTCCGCAGGCTCCAATACGTCGACCTGGACGTCTACTCTCCAAACGAAGCAGCTGGGTTCTAGATGTAGATACCTCGGAGATGGCATTGGAGAAGGCGATAATGCGGTGCCCGCTGGATTCAGGCACACTTGAAAACTTTGAACTTGGTGTTCTGTGTTTGGCTCGTCTTACTTCTCGGCGTAAGAATACTCAAACTTGGAGGTTTGACCGCGGATTCCTGATCAATGCGGCGTCGTTTTGCGTCCAAGCGCGACGCAGCCACTGGAAGATGGGTGTCACTTCTGACACCGTCTTTGTTGCCCGTCCACGAATTCGTGGTATCAGCAGCGGTGGAAGGGAAGGAGATAGAGGCGAACATCGGAGCCTTGTGAGTGAAAGCCTTGGAGCAGCGCGGATCTTTCACACCTGGCTGCGACCTGGGTCTGGCTCCCTCCATGTGGAAGTGCTCACAGACGGCCCAGTCCGAGTCATGCGCATCTCCGACCCACAGGAGCCTGATCAAGTTTTTCCGGCCCTCTCCCTCTATCACCATGATCATTCATTTATCGCTCCCAGCCATCTCCGCCTTCTTCTCGACCTACCCTCAGGTCTTGGTGTGTCAGTGATCTCTGCACGATGCGAAGAACTTTGCTACGCTAGTCTTCTGGGTCTACGTTTTGCTCTAGATCGGTACTATCCCGGTAGTGGATCGATTGATGTAGGACGGGAGGTCACGGAAACCGAAGTTGCGGACGATGACGATACCGTATTTGTAGACGTTCCCAACCAGTCTCGAAGTTGTGGTGGTAGTGATGGAGATGGGATTGTGGACGGGCTTATCGTACAAGGTCGTCCGGTGGAACATCTCCGCCTCCATTTGGGAAAGATTCAGATCGATAACCAGATTGCGGGAGCGTCTCTACCGGTTCTACTATTCTGTGCAGCACCTGTTAAAACCCCCACTGCTGCCACCGCTTCAAAGACAATGTCGAAAGGCGTGGTAGAAGGGCGATTGCTTCGGCTCTCTGAGGGTGGTGAAGGGATCCATGGACGTGAGTTGGAACGTCTCTTCCAAACTGGGGGCGAGCCTGCGCGCACTGCGCCAAAGTCCGATCGAGAGGCCATCAATTGGCCACACCTCATCGTGCGATCTCTGCGACTTCTTCACACCGGATGGAAGGCAGAAATCTTTGCGCTAATGGAGGTAAGTTGTTGGTAAAGGGATTTAGTCCTGGAATAGCTTGCTACATTTAATCCCTACTGACTCCTTTTCTTTATAGGTACGACTGAACCGAATGGTGATGCAAGCGGAGGAGCTATTGCTGTTGAAACTGATTCAGTTTAGCCGTCACTTCAGAAGCCCCACACCTATCGCAATTATGTCGACAGAAGAGGCGAAATCGATCGATTTTCTCGAGCAAGCGGTCTTGGAGGCTGAGGGTAGCTACTCCAGGTAGGTCGAGGAGAATAAACCAAAAGTATTTGAAAGGATGACTTTTTCACATTTGTTCTTGGGGTGTATGTGCAGACAAGTTTCACCTCCGAGCATTTCGTCTGACGACTTCCTCTATTTCGATCATCTGCGAGTCCTGTTCTCACCGATTCGTGTAACTATGCAGACGGCGGAGGGACGTCTGGGGCCCGAGTTTTACGACGTCCATCGCCTTATACCGAAGCTCATGTCGTTTACTGATGCAGACATACGGTTGGGTGAGTTGCGTTTGTCTTTTCACTCCATCCACTTAACCATCTGTAGTGGATCCATCCATCACTGCTTCACCTATCCATTTCTCCATCCCTCTGTCTGTTCATCACATTTCATTCCGTGCCCAGGGGAGTTTGTACGTGATCACTGCCTGGAGTCGAGTCGCTTTTTGATGGAGCAGCTGTCTCAACACTTCGAGGTACGACTGCGGGCACAGGCCCTGCGCATCTTCGGATCAGCGGACGTTTTGGGCAACCCACTTGGCTTTATGTCCGATATCTCCTCGGGCATCTGCGATCTCGCCGATATGGACTTTTCGGGCCTTGTGCGTAACGTCGCTCATGGTGTCGGTGATAGCACTGCCAAGGCATGTCCCCTCCTTCATCGCTATCCGCTTGCCCACCCTCTTGTAGTTCTTAGTTTGGAATTTAGTATTTCTAAAGGAATCTTTCATGAATCATTTTTGAAGGGAAAGAGGACCTTTTTCACGACCTTGTCAAGTTAATCAGCATTGCGTTTGTTTTCATGAGAGTCATAGCAAGTTATTGGGCTGAAAATCCCTTGGATCCGTTCAAAAATTTGTCGTTTCCTGTATTCACTATCTCAACTGCCTATTTATTCGCTTATCATAAGCACGTCAATCAACTAACATCCCATTCATCCTTCCACGGATTTGATAAACCGTCTGTTTAGTTAAACATCCCATATTCACCCATCCTCCATCCAACCAGCCATCCATACCGTATCCATCCATCGTAGATCCATCCTTTTTTGCTGGTTATTGTGCTGGGACAGCGTCCTTTATTGAATCATTTCTAACGTCCGTTCGGTACCTTCTCCAAAGGTGGTAGGAAGTGTATCCCAACTGGTGCACACCCTCTCCATGGATGAAAACCACCAACTCCGACGCCGTGAAATCATGGGATCGCCACGACGAGGCCTAGGCTCTGGTACTCTCACTTCTTCCTCTTCTATCTCCTCTGCTTACGCCGCTAGGTCGAGAGCTGCGGAGGCAGAGATAGAGGAGCGCCTCGACGACTTCGAGATCACCGCACTGTCCTCGGCCAAGATGGCGGATGGCGATCGGGGCAGTGGTAGTCGTGACACTCTCTTCGACCAAACAGCACCATTCCGTGCTGGACTGCGTGGTTTTGTGCACGGCGTAGTAGGCGGTGTCACCTCTATGGTCACCCAGCCCATCCATGGTGCCTGTGAGGAGGATGGTCTCAAGGTAAGCCCTAATTGGAGTCTATTGATATTTAGTGGTTCTACTTTTATTCTCCCTTCTTCCCTCCTTCCAACCATGCATTTGTCCGCTTCGATAATACTTACTACCAACACGGAGTCAGTGTCGGTGTGCGATCTAGCATTTTGAAATTAATGGTCTGTCCATGATTCTTCGGTGGGTGGACCACTTTATGCCTGCCTTTCGACACCTCTTATAGTGCCTACATCGCTGCCCTTCTATTTGGACTCCTTAGTAAACGGTTAATAGGATTTAATTGCATAATTTCAATCAAAATTGAACATTTTAACGTCAACAGCCTGAATAGCCATCTCACAATTTGACCATTCTCTCCGAAGGGTTTTGTCTACGGTGTGGGTCGAGGTCTACTAGGCACTGTGACAAAGCCAGTCGGCGGAGTCCTTGATCTTGTCTCAGGTGCGATGACGTCGCTGCGTGAGGCTGCCCGTCCCTCCTCTAGCGGACGTCCGCGTCGTATGCGTCCGCGGAGAGCACTTTCCATGCCGCTGCGCGCTTACTCCCTTGGCGCAGCTGTGGGCCAGTTGCTGTTGCGACGTCTCAGTGTGCGCTCCTACAGCGCCGCCTACGAGCCCTCCGCTGTAGTTATACTCTCGCTAGGTGACCTCAACGACTCTGAAGGTACATTTTCCCAACTGTCTTGCGTAATAAGGACGGTGGTTGTTTTCTTTACGCCAATACACCATGATAAAGAAATCAAAGTCGATGGAAAATTATTTAGAATTGCCTATGTAATGTGAATTGCATGGACCCTCTTGATTTACCATTTAGGGTTGGCAAAGCAGCATCAGCTTTAATCCGCACAAACATATTTATTCTTCAGGTTGCTCAGTGAATCGATTGCTAAAGGCTTCAAGACAGCAATGGGAAGATGAGAGACCGGAGGTGGTGATTTGTGTGCTGAAATGTCAGTCGGCAGCGGTCAGCGTCATTGTTACCGATCGCGCTGTCTGGTGTGTCCGTAATTTCACGCTCCAAGGTGTGAAACGAACCTCAGAGACATTCGTAGGTTCTCGTTCACTCACTCAATTCACCAAAAATCGTCTTCTCGATGCTGTTATTAGTGTTTCCAATCTTTTAGTTCGGTAATGAGGATTGCGATGCCACAAATGTAATGTTCGTCGTCCCTTACTTCTACCTCAAAAGCGTGCGTCTATCTCAACGTGTACCCAGTAAGGAGAAGAAAGGTGGACCTCGGGGATTTGTACCGTCAGGTGTCGCCGTGACAGCAGAGTCCTCCTACCTGGAGTTTCAGCTCGAACGGCGGCAACGCGAGTTGCGTTTCGATCGCGTGGAGTGGGCGCAGGACGTGTTGGCGGAGGTATCGGAGGCACATTTTCGGTACGTGCAGGGCTTGATGGAACTGCCTCGCGATCGGCCAGTAGATTTGGCGTTGCATACACACCCTCTGGCCCTGCCTTTTGGACCGTCGCTCATTGACGCAGCGCACCTTGCTCAAATTGACGAATGTGAAGAGTATGAAGACGAATAGAAGCCGTAGCTTTATAGATTTGTAAAGATGTAGAGCCTCTTTATTTTTTTTGTAAAACGTATTTGTTATGACGATTTTATGTGTTCTCAATTGTAATCTACGCAGTATCAGCCGGGCTTGTATAGTGATGATTAATGGGAATGAATTTTGAAACAAAATTAGCAGTATGTCTCCCTGTACTTACCATTTCAATAGGCTTACCTGAATTTTGACCATCGGGACGCAAAATAGATTCTAAACTTTTCTATGCTAACTCAGGTGTTGATATGGTTGTTTGTGAATGAGTTCTTAAGATATAACAACGACTAACCATTCAGGAGAAGAAAGTAGGGTTCTTATGTTGCAAACGTTTTGTTAAAATAAAATCTGACAAAAGCAGTATAAATAATCAAAGTAAGAGACGTATAATCAAACTATACATTGCAGAGCTGCCGGAAATAAATGCCATGTAAACATGTCAAAGGAAGAGGGAAGTGGAGGTGTCATATGAGTTAGTCCACGGTTCTCAGTTGGGCCCCTTCTTAAAGTTGCAAAGCTTCTGGAAGCCTATCCTGTTTTTGATTTATGATGCATTAACCTCTCGTTTTACAAGTACATCTCTCCTCAGGCTTTATGCTATTCATTGTAGCCTCAATATGCATTCCACAGCCTATAAGAAGATAAGAAGGAAACAAATCTTGCCAGCCCAAGTTTTCTTCCCACATTTTTTACACGTGGCGACATAACACATTTTGGGGATCGAACTTAACTGGGTAAGAGAAAAGCAGGCGTTGTCGCGATATCACCGAACAAACCAAGAAAATGCTTTCACCTTTTCGAGGTGATAGTTTAAACAATGCATCATTTATGGAAAATGCACTCTGATATCGTCCCAAACACCATTAAGGATCTGGAACGGCAACATGTGCATCAATGAGACCAGGTTTCACCTACGAGCCATTTTTAAAATTTACTGACTACTATTTCTAAACCAAGTATTACAAAATGCGAATTTAAATTGTACCGTGTAAAAAAGTGCTAGAAGGCCGATTAAATGGTGGAACATGAGTAGATCTTAGTGAAAATTACCTTGGCGTGATTTTGCTTTCAGGAATGGTAATAAATTAAATCTAATGCAGCCTATAAAGTCAAATGATATTAAAAACGGAAAAGAAAAATTAGTAATTCATTCCCATCCATAAGAATTTGCCTGCGTATGCTTTGAGTCTTTTTAACGCTTTAACACTTGTAAATCCGAATCTATTCTCAATGATTACTTGTAGGACTGAATTGGCTTATCTCCTCCTACCTTGCCTTCATACCCTTGGAACAATGAGGTTGGTTGGATCTTGACATGTTTATCGCTCATACTAAGTGATGGTGGGTGCAAGTTCAGAAGGATCTAGACTTAAAGCTTTTCTCTGACTTGGAAGATGGCGAACTCTCTTCAGTCACGAGGTTGGAATCCTCTGCCTGCCTCCTCTCCGAAAGGAACATTAGGACAATGTAGATATTTCATAGTCCCCTCATCCTTTCAGCAACGTCCCCAGTGCTACCATTTGAGTTTCTCCCAAAGTTATCACCCAGTGGTTTCCTGTCTTCCGTAAGGGCGTATATCTCGCCTTTGTAGCCAGCCAGTGGTACCCCTTTGCAGTCGCATCTTATTGTGGTGAAAGGTCACCAGCCGGGTACTTAGTTATGCGTTGCGGATGAGGTAGTTTGTAGGTGGTAGCACTACATGGGTGATGAAACTTGCGGTGCATTCCAGGTATGGGAATGGGTCTGTAAATCTGCACTAAGTCACCTTCTTGGTAGACGTTAGTCCGGCCGTGTCAGTCGTGACATTTCTTCTGCCTGTTAAAAGACAGTTGTAAATGTTTGCATGCAATGTTAAAAGGTTTTCTGCGCCTTCTTTCAGCCACAGTATCTATTCTGGAATATTGCTAGCTGCTTCGTCTGTGTTTAGAAGGAAGGCACCCTCATTTTACTACTTATGAGCATCTTGAGCGGCGAATTGCTTGGTGACGTATGGACCGTAGCCCTGTATGTGATAAGGACGCGTCCTTGGCTGAAATTCCAGTCATCTGGTTGTGTGTCTTTAGTGAAGGACTTTAGTAGTTTTATCAGATTGCGATTCGTTCTTACCACCTGTTCATTACCTTGCAGATGTCCAGGTGTCGTGTGTGTGTCTTTAAGATCTGGAAGGTCTTACATAGTTAGGTTGGGGGTTGACTCTAGAAGTTAGGGTCTTGGTCATTATAAACAGATCAGGCACTCCTTGATGGCAACTGAAGGAAACTGAAGCAACTGTTTTAGTATCATGTGACTTCATGAGTTCTGTCTTAGCAGATTTCATGAAGAAGTCTAACATAATCAAAATATATCGGTTTCATCTCTTGATGGGCGATAGAGGACTTGCAATGTCTATACATACTTTTCTCCTGGGAAACCTTTAGGCATGGGTTGTGGAGGTGCGATGGTTGTAGGATGGGACTTTCAAAGCCGATCCAGGTGGTACAGTTACGGCAGATGTCTAGTACGTCGGAGGTGAGCAAAAGCCACCAATATCTTTTGCTCGAGGCATCTGACATCTTCTTCCCACTCATCTGGTCGGGTTGCTTGTGCAACTCTTGAAGAACTGTTCGCACTAATGAGCCAGAGACCACTAGGCTCCTACAGGATTTAAGGTCTTTTTGGTGTCGTAAAACCTTATCCTTTAAGGGGAGTCTCGGCCACTATTACCAAATCCGTCTGGCTGCCATGCTAGATGATGTCAACTCTTCCGCTGCGGGCTTGTGTTATAATGTTAAGGACTGGTATATCAAAGCCGCGTTAGAATCCTTACTATACCTACTTCTTCAATGGTGTTTAGTTGGGTCGCTCGAGAACATCACCTGCTTCTGCTGCAATAGGTCTGGGGGTTGAGCATCCGCTTCACCATGCCCATTTCCTCCTCCGTATTAAACTGTAGAGCTATATTGCTGTAGTTCTTTGTACCAATACGCAAGTGAGCAATCGATCTCCTTCATTGTTTCTAACTCGGTGAGTGCCAGATGATCAATTCTAACAATAAACTTGCTCACTATCAGGTAATGTCTGAAGTGTTTAACCATTGAGTAGATAGCGAACAGCTCACGTCGTGTTGCACTTTTCTCTTTAATTTTTTCACTGAGTCTGAGCTTGCATAGGCGATGACGTGTCCCCTTCTTTTTTGTCCCTTTGTTAGAGTACACCGCCCATGGCCGCGCCGCTCATATCCGTATGCATTAGGAAGAGTGGAGCACTTGAGCCGACGTTTGGTAGTACTAGAGGCGGTGCGGAGCAGAGCATTTGCCTCATTTCTTTGAATGCCTCATCATGTATCTTTGATAAAAATGGGCATTCAATTTGTAAGCGCAACCATTTTTTGGATTTACTCTGGCGTAGTCATTTGTAAACTTATTTCTCTTAAACAGCATCGGTGTAATACATCTTTTGTGAAAGTTAGTTTGAAATGAATTGTCCGAGTCCTATTTGTTATTAATGTTTTGTCATTTGCTCACACGCTAAAAGATGCTATATCTCCGTTCTTTAGCCAATATCATTCTGTAGCTCTTATTTTATTTTGCAATTTGGCTAAGTTATTTGCTTAGACAGTTGTAAAAATATCATTTTTTGTCCTTTTGTGGACACATTGTTTGAAGTTGTGCGTTGAGCCCAATTCCTTTCAAATTCACTACTGTGCTTTTGATTGGTTAACTGTGGCATGCCGTGATGGCTGGGGAGGTGGTGCAATCAAGTGACGTCGTCGTCGAGACTAATCCTCTCTCTGAAATGTCCTATGAAGAAAAACTGACCTTTGCCTCTGTTATTGCAAAACCTATGGCTTCTGAAAAACTCACTAAGCGTCTCGGAAAGCTAATGAAGAAGGCGAAGAACAACGGATTACTCGCATGTGGCGTAAAAGACTCTGTGAAACAGATTGTTAAAAAGAAGTCTGAAGGCATTTTGGTGATTGCTGGGGACGTCAATCCAATTGACACCGTTACACACATTCCGCTCATATGCGAGTCTCATAACGTACCCTACTGCTACGTTCCCTCACGCTTCGACCTCGGATGTACTTTCGCATCTACCGTTACTTCTGTATGCGTTTTCATCAGAAAACACGATAGTTACGAGAAGCTATTTAATAAGTGCTACAAAGTCGTTGACGAGCTGCCCCTACCCATCCACTAAGTCATCGTCGTGTACATGTATCCCGCTGCATTACTGCTAGGTTCGTCTTCGTGGTTTTTTGCTTGTTAATGTGTGCATTGAAACAACTACCTTCGTAACCCTTCGCTATCTTGGTTTTTTGTACAAAAATAAATGCTGTTTGTTTGATTTTGTTTATTGAATATTGTTTGCGTATTATGTCAGACAAAAGAAGCAAATTGTTCTGAAAAATTGACATAATAATGGTGATCACAGTTTGCGGGGGGTGATGCCTGCCACTTTACTCCTCAAGGCCGTCCAGCTCTTCCAGTATCTCGCGTTCAAGGTTGTCATCGATGACGACGGTGTTCTCAAGGTCGCTGCCTTCCAGCATCAGTTCCGCCTCGATTTCGTCGACGCTCATGTCTGCAATATTTGAAGAAGGGTATGACAGTTAATGTACCAAAAAATTATCACCTGATGCAAGACTGAGAGCAATGGGTGAGGAGAAAGAGGGGGAAAGGTTCCGTTTCGGGTTCTCTTCCTCGGGGGCCTCTGATCCATTCACACTGCCTGTAGTGAAAATAAAAACGGGCTCAAGTGGCATTCTGTATGTTTAAAATCAAGATTAATGTAATTCAGTTACTTCCTTCCGCCTTCACTTTCGTCAGCTGATCAGGGCCTCGGAGAATTGGTTTGGCGTCTGTTATAAAAGGTGAGAGCAAAGCACTAGAGTGGTAGTCTACTTTATTTATGCCAACGAAAGGATGAAACAGTTAGTACCTTCATTCTCCACAACGGTAGCTGGTCCGTCTTGAGAGCCTAGACAAGAGAAGAGCCATGAGATTAACTCAGCTTGTACATGCATTAAAAGAAGTAATGATAAAAAGTACCTTCAGCAGCAACTGATTTTGAGATTGAAGGAAAGATTTCGCTGGGAAGATTTTCGCTCTGGCGTATGAGGGAGACACGATAGAAGTAGTTTCGCCAAAAGTCATCCTCTTTCACTCTAGGTTCGGGGGGTGCAGGGAAAAATATTTAAAAAATAGCTCAGTACGGTTCTAGGTCAGTGGAAATCAAGATAGGAAGAAAAGTTAGTTCGTTTGGAGTCAGGCAATGACAAGTGGTTTTCGATAGTCGAATATGCCTACCACTGTAAAGTAGCAGCTTTACCAATCACGTGAGAAATTGAGGTTCATCAGTTTCGTTGACGGCTTCCTATGACAGTCGCAAAAGCACACACAGAGGTAAGACCATACGCTCTAAGACACGAGACAGGCAATAAGTAAAAAAAACTCAGTAGGCTTGATAGCCTGAGTACAAAACTGAGTGGTAAGGGAAACAAGGGAATGGTAAGACTTCTAAAACCCAGTAAGGAAGTTCTACGGGAGGCGCCGTTAACTAACGAGTGTCTGATTCCCATTTGTTCTTTAACGTGATGTATAGAAAAGTCTATTTTGGTAAATGATAATACACGCATATCTCTGGCACAATTCTCTTCAATTATTACCTTCATAAACAAGATTTTGACGAGATGAGAATGCGCTAATGAGAAGATCAAAGCGTGAGGAACTCAGATTGACTGCTATTCGTTCTAAGGCCCACTATAAAGCTCTGCTGCGAAGAAAATAAGGACAAAGTGAAGGATGAAACAAGGATGTGGAACCGAAGCAGATAATGATGGAATGGGAATAGTGATGCATAAGAGAGACAAATCAAATAATTTCCAATTTGAATAAATGACGGTGGAAATGAACGGTTGACATATGCCAACGCTTGAATGAAATGGTAAGAAGAGAAATAATTTTTCGTGGAGAAAAATCACTACTCAAGTCGCAGGTAGAAACGGCTTTAAATGGTTAGAGTGGAAGGCTAGTGGCAAAACAGTCGACGGAAACAATGTGAGATGCGTACCTTCGTGGAACAAGTCGAAATCGCAAGGCAGCCAAGTTGGCGTCCTCCTGAAGCAGAGCCGTCGCAATCGGTATGTACTGCCTGGCTAGCTGCTGGTTCCACTGGAAGCACGACCCATGGGGTGGTGGTCGAAGAAAATTCTGCTCTTCTAGAGAGAGGTGCAATATCTGCTCCTTTACCCGTTGCTGCCGTTGTTGATCTTTCTCATCGTAAGATTTCCCATCGGATGAAACAAGGAGAAGAGAACCTGGTGATGATAGGGATGTGTCAGCTTCACACCCTTCTTTCTTCTTTGCCAAAACAAAGTCTGACTGTGCTCGATCGAATTCGATGAAGGGGGCTGACGAACTTATCTAACAGAAGAGAAGATATGTATGCACGATTGCAACGTACTTTCTCTGAAATCTGCTTAGCAGTATTCCTCAGTTCGCCTGCAAGTTTTGTTGACGATTCCTTAGCGAGCGCTATTATTTCTATCAGTACAATAGACAATAGCAAGAAAAATACCTTTGAGACCACCGACAAACTTGTCGTCTCTATTAGAGGCGTAGATATTTTCAACTTCCTGGACAGGATTTTGTGGTGTGGTTCCAGACTTATTACTGTTTTGAAGTTCAGTGGTTTCTGGGACAAATTGTGCAGCTAGATAGGACCGCAGGGAGGACAGCATTTTATCAAATTGCGTACGAACTTATTAGAGTAAATAAAAAGTGCCCTAAAGCAGTTTTCATTTAATACTGACCTTAGAAAATGGTCAAAAAGTGCCAAAATTATAATTAAATTGGGTCAACAAACTTCGTACCAAACTATTGATCCCTATGATAGTAAGGAATAGTAAATATAGGCAATGCCATAATTAATAAATTTCCACAGTATTTATCTGCTCTATTTTTTTAGCATGCAGGTTTGCGTTTGAAAACAAAGGCAACAAAGTTAGTGGTGTACAGGGGATGAACCAGTTTTATCGCAGGTATTGCAATCATTAAATATGAGTCCTCCATGACCGTTATGAAGTCATTTGCCGCCTTTAAACCACTTTTGAAGCTAAAAATAATCACTTGATTATGTAAACAAAGGTTAGATAGTAAGCAAATTTTTCGAGGGGATTGCTTTAGTTTTAACCGATACTAATTGGCTGCGCATTGGTCAAGGATTCGACGGCTTTTGGCTGTGCTTTTTGATCGAATGGTGTTTTCGCTTTTTCCTTTACGTGCATGACAAATGCTAGCCTGTAGTGCCCTAAATACAGCCTTCCGTAGACAGCAGATTGAGTTATGGGAAGCTTCAGAAATGAACAAGGAAATCGTCACGCCGCGGCCAGCTGATCGGGTTAACTTCCCCATTGAGGTGCAGTTTCATGCAGCTTGTAAAAATTCGGAATTGGATGAAGTCAAAGAACTTCTTTCTAAGGGGGTGGATATTGACGTTGCCAATGTTGATGGCTTAACTGTTCTTCACCAGGTGCAGAATATTTATGAATTTCTTATGCATTCTAAAATAGGCCTGTATCGATAATAATTACGAAGTTGTACAGTTTCTTCTATCTAATAATGCAAATGTTAATGCTCAAGATAATGAAGGATGGACTCCCCTCCATGCCTGCGCTTCCTGTTCCTACACTGAGCTTGCAAAGTAAGTTTCAGCGTTACACTTTCCTCAAATCGGTTTCTCGTTTACAAGTGGAAACTTTACTTCGATGTACGGTTTTTTATGCTGCTGCGGGCTTATGCTTCTTGTGTCCTGCATCACCTATCTAAATTGTCGTTGAATTTTAATAGTTAATTTTGAGGATCAAATTTGGCGACCTGCTCCAACTGCAATCCTTTTTGGAATTCTCCTATTCTTGGGCGATTTCGAAAACATTTAAGCATTTATTTTGCATGCATCAACTAAAGTTGCCGTTCTACTTCTCTAAAAACGCTGTTTTCGTCTATTGATTGGTGTTGTATTCGTGTAATTACATTGTTGGTTTCCCTGTTACTTTACCATTGTCCATTCTTAAATCTCTTTTTATGAACTTCTCTTAGGTTATTTGAGACTCGTGAACCTTGAAATACTGCCTTAGACCATTCTATTGGTTGGCATTTGAAATCCATATGTTCTTCTACACCGGCTTTTAATCCTTTATTTTCTTTTTAATAGCATGTTGATTAGCTGCGCTACACTAATGCAACACGTGAACCACAACGGAATGACCTCCAGAAGTCGATGGCTTTTACGTAAATACTCTCTGAATTTCTAATTAGTCAAAAAAGTAGCCTCCCTTCTTCCGCAGTCCACCTATTTTTTTTCTGAAATCCATTTTATTGGAAAGCGGAGCATAGTCTAACTGAAGCACATGTTATTGCTACTTCTTTACAGAGACATTAGAAAGTGTGAATTGGCGTCTAGTTTGATGTTTCAGAGATCTTAATTTTCTCTGCTCAGGATGTCAACTTGTTTTCGTTGATGGCCATATTTTATCCGAGTTTTAATAATTACAAAATAGGATTTATATTCATCGGGGCTTCTCCCGCATTCTTCCACTCGACTACTGAATACCTTCATTCTCATTTGTCTTATGTACGGTCCCATTTAGGAACCCTGGTTTGTTCTTGTTTTACTTTGTTTGCCGGTGTCTATCCTCTGTTTGTTTGCAAAAGTGTGTTTGCACAGTAAAATGCATCTGCGTGCCGTCGCGTGAATTTGTAAATGTTACTCTCTCCATTTCGTTTCTTCTGAGATTTGAATAGTATCTCATGGGGACTTTGGATAGATCCATCGTTTGATGAATCAGAAATAAGTTGTGCGAGCATGCGTTTTTTAAGCTTTATCACAGGTCCGTGGACTCTAGCATATTACTTATCTGTTTAAAACTCCATTGCCTGGTTTTGTGTGTGCGTGTGTCATACCTTTTTTTCTGTGAGAATTTCTCTTCTCATCATAGAACAGTTCCCACCGAAAGGCTGTGAATGGGTTGAGTAGGTTTAATTAGTCTACCTCCAGTGGGACTGATGCGGATATTGTAAAAGCAGCAGTTGGAGCATATTTTTATCGCAACCTTCTATTTTGATAGCGGTTGAATCGGCAGATTTAGGTATTTTTAACTAGCTTTCGGTAAAGGCATCACGGTTTAGATAGGTTGTATACATCCCTTTTGGCCTTAAACTTCCTTCTGAATGTTGTGTGCCCGAATCTGAAACACTTAGTTTAAAGACCAAATTTATTTTGTTAGTGATCCTTTAAATTTTGGTGATGACTTAAATGTTTAGTGAATGCTTCTAATCTTGTCTTTGCAAATGCAGCACACTACGGGGTTTAACAAGGTAGTCACTTTTTAAATTTCTTTGCCCAATGAAAACGGCCGCTTCACTCAAGAGAGTCCAATGAGTAGTTTAGGAAGGGTGAAAAGGACTTTGGGATTGCTTAGTCAAGTTAGTGATTAGTCGAAGTAATTTGGTTCAAGAGTAATCAGTATGAGTTTCAGTCTATTCTGGAAGTTGCTTAAATCCAGTTTTGTGCATGACGGACGACCAAAAATAATGGCCAGCAGGATTTCAATTTCATTTTCAAGTAACATTGAATGCTTAAGCGCCTGAATGTGCATGACAGTCGTTCGCGATGGGTTGATAGGCTGGTTCATTTCAGTATGATTCATTCTGAAGTAGTTCATTTTCTGCGATTTCATGAATTGTAGCTTTAAATCAGAAGCGTAGGCGGAAAGTTTTTTAAACACTGGTATCACAGTGTGGTTAGGGTGATAAAAATTGCAATTTTCCCACCTTTGCTTATCCAAAATGGTAATCTAAATCCTCTCCTTCGTGATTGGTGAAATTAAAATATAGTTATGCGACGTTGAATGACAGACATGTGGGGAGGGCTCACTAATGAGTCGGAATGAGTTTGCTGCTTACAGCACAACAAAAGCAATCAAATTACTGGGTTGATTGCTTGCAGACTGTTTGGTATATGTGTCGAATGGAATGCGCGTAATTGGCGGAGGGAGCCGACCCGTTGATTCTAGCTCCCTGATCACCAGCCTATTCATTTTGGTGGGTTTGTCTCCGATTTTTTTACTTCGTTTGTTATGGGGTCACATCTTGCTGCTAATTTAAGCAATTTTAGTTTGACGTACCCACTTTTTTTTCTCTGCAGTTGCTTTCAGTTCATCCAATTTATCCACCACCTCGGTCTCAGCTCGGGTTTATCTCTCAGCGCTTGGTTCATTTGAAATCAGTATTGAAATCGTCCACCAGGAGGAACCTTCTTGATTCATCACATCGATTTATGGGTTAGCCATACCCTTATCCCTTTCACAAGTTCTATAGCTGATGTTTGAAGCTGCATTAGTTCTAAGACGTGATTTAGCTTTAAAAACCTAGATGTGATCTCATAAAAAGGGCTGGAAGGTCGATAAGCGGACCTTACCGGTGTTGATGGCAAGAAGCTATTCGTTTATCTCCACTACGTCCTCTTTCCAATTATCCACCTTGGTATGAGCTGAAGTGTCTCTCCTAGCCAAAACTGAAATCTCCAATCCAAATGGAACTTTTCAAATCCTTTAACTAACGTACTTTGCACGAGTCCAGTGACTCCGTCAAGTGCTTACTTCCAAGCTCTACTTATCCATGATGTCAGGAAAGACTGGTTCTCTTAAGTCCAATGCTGACACCGATAAATCTTTACAATACACTTAAGGCAAGTGTCTTCAATTTGTTGCTGCTACTTAAATTAACACACACATGCATGGCTAACATTCGTTTGTGCACCCCCCGACAACCACCACCACCTTGCCGTACGTCAAAAGAAGGCGTGGGGTGAAAATTCACCTGCGCTCACACATACTCTTGTATTTCATCACTCCACTTTGTTTCTGTGTGTGAGCTGCCCCGTGTATAACCTGATAGTGCCTGCTCTTCACGGGATTGCTTACAAGACGTATCGGGGCGACCGCTTTCTATCGATTTCTTGCTTTGGACGTGAATTAGAGCGGAGTCGGAGTGAGGCAGGAGGCGAAGCAATAAAAGAAGTCGCAAAAGAAGAGGCTTTTCAGCTAATTTACTTGTATGTGTGCACGTGTGGGAAGCGTCGTTTTATTGATTCAAGTGTGCGGCGCACGCATTAGCGTGGTTTGCTGTGTTTGGCGCACGCTTACGCACACGCTTAGCCAATCAAGTGACGCGTAGGCATTCATCGATTCGGAGGGGAAGAAGATTCTTTCAGTCCTTGGGTGTGTGCTTTGCTTTGGACGGTTGGACTGTCCTCTGGCTTTCATGACAGGTGAAGCAAACTGACAGACAATAAAGTATTAACTTCCCAGGCTTAGGAGACAGGCAGGAGAAGAGGACAAAATTTTTTTCCTCATCAAGCAAATGCTGATTCTCCAACACTTCCTCTCTGCTAGTTAGGAATTGTAAAACTAGCGTCTATCGAAGTAGTTGAATGTGAAATGTCACACTTATGGGAAGTGGTGAGATTGCTGCAAAAGGTATTTTTTACGCCTAGTTGGGTGGATTTGATTTTAATGTGGTCCAATATCTTAATCACACAGTAAACGGCCATTGAGAAGATTTGTCTTTTATCTTTTGTGAAAATGGGTTTCTCTTCTTGCTCACTTAGTAGAGGTGAAAGCGTACCTCAGACGTTAGCTGCTGGACTTTTTCCATTTGTTTCAGGTAATCGATTATTTCTTCTTTTTACGGGCGACGGTCACCTTGTGTTGAACGGTTGTATTTACTGCTTTTTCTTAAAAATTCTTTTATCTTACACAACTACCCGCTCATTCATGCTATAGATTTGACCTACCTGCCAGAACGAAACTTCTCATTCGATACCAAGGCGCTGCGTAGTTGGTTGCGTGGAACATAGACACGGTTCATACTTCTTTCATGAGATGATGAATAGCTCTTTCTAGCGTTTAGCTCCCTCTGCTTTATCTATTTTCGTAGTGCCAATTCAAGATTAGTGTCCCCTGCCATAAGGGCAACTTTTCAGCTCATCACGCTTGCCCACGTACTGTTTGCCTCTTGCGTCCGATAACTGGCCAAACGCTTCGCTCCACGAATAAAACCAAGAATTCAAGACTGGTTTCTTCATTGTTTGATAAAATTTGTTCGAGAAATTGAAAGTGAATTTCGGTATAGGTGGATATATCCATATCCACTGCATCTGGCATGCAGCTCATCCACCTTATTTACCATCATGTTCTTGACTCAGATCCATGTCTCGAGTGGCACACGGTGGATTTGTGATCTCTTTAAGTCGTTCACTAGAATGTCACTTTCCATTCCTTTCATACATACTATCTTATGTCGATGATAGGATTTTCCTATTGTAAATCTCTCCGAAGTTTGAGACTCGATTGCTTCTGGTGTTTCTTTTGTAAATTCCTTGATTCGTTTTTTGTTGTAAATGGAGTAATTCCAGCTCTTCTCTTGAAGCCTTACAGTGGCATCTAATAGGGTACGAATATCGGATTCAAAAGCATGCCATTGTGATGAGAACCAAACACTGCAACTCAAAAGCACACGCTTTTTCTGTGCATTTAGCGGAGTCTTGTTAGTACACAAAGGCCGTTATAGCTACATTTCGGTGCAGCTCGGTGTTTGACCAAAAGGCAAAGTAAGAGATCTTATACGTTGCCTTATACGTGTGTGTGTGCCCATTTCTCAAAGTACCAAAGTTCACAACCATCCGTTACGGGTGCAAATTCCACGTTCTGTGTTTCGGTTAAGGCATTTTAGCCCCTTTTTGAACGGTCACATGTGCTATCACCTTTATTGTGCAGCCTCAGTTCCTCCAATAGTTTACACCTTTTCTTGATCATTTGGGTCGGTTCCCTAGTTGAAAAGTTCGCTTATGTCTAACCGGGAACACTTAGTTTACAAATTAAGGTGAAAAACAAACTTCAAAATGTGGAAACTGCTTCTCCCTCTTGTTACACAGAGTCCTCTACTACATTTATTTACATACTTATGTAATCACTCAAGCATTGAGAAGAAGCATTTTCACCACATAATGGTCAGTCAGTTGAACAACTCCAGAACAGCCTACTACGCTTTGTCACTGGTGCTGAAATATTGACCACCTAGTGGAGACTAAATGTGCCTGAGTGATATTGTTGCATTCAGCGCTCCCACAGAAAGGCTTGTGTCTTGTCCTCTTCGGCGGTAGACTACTCCTCGATCGTCTATCCAGATTAGGGATGGTGTTCAACAAAATTGGATGAATTTTCACAGTAATTGTTGTGCTGTGAGTTAGAAATCATTACGGGTCGGATCGCCATCTCCCACTGTGACGATGGTGGCTGTCTTTGAAATGCACCGGTGATCGAGGTGTCCTACTGCTTGATGCGTGAGCTTCCTATCACCATGGTGTTAGATGGTACTGTGTTGGAAGTTGTTTGCAGGTGGAAGGTAGTTGAGAGTTTAAGTTGTATGCCTTGGCTAGGAGGTAGCCGTACACCACACGCTGTCCCATGTTATGTGCGCACTGCTGGCATTGCTTGTCATCTTGATTAAGGGGACGGTGTGGACTGGACGACTGATGCACGGCATTTGCACTGACTGTTAGCACTCGCAATGGGACACACCTGGCACTTACTACATCGTGCAGCACCGCCACGTAGCATGCTTCTTCATCGAATGCATGAGTCACCTACATACTGCCATTCTCTAGTATCCTTCGTTGGTTTTCTTTCACTTACGTAAGGCAGTCTGTTTAACAAGTAGTGGTCGATGCTCACTAACCAAAAGGTACTATGTGGTCCCTAGAAAGTGAACTTTTTCTTCATTGGTGTAGGTAGGAGATGTATACTGGGAGCATGAGTTTATCAACTTGCGGATATACTGCTTAAATCAGGGAGCTTGTTGTCTTTGAATTGATGGGCATTTTGAAGGTGACTGTATTGCTAGTGTATTTGACAAAGGGCGTTCCTAGCTTTCACAAGGGCTGGAGGATGAATGCTGAAAATAATTTGCAAAGTTAGAAAATAACCAGCTTAATGAGTTTCAGGTGGGCTATGTGTGGCAACCTGATCTTTCCCTCTCCTGCACTGGTTCGCGGCAGTTTGGGAGGAATACCTACCTAGGTAAATGTCGTAACTAATTTAGGAAAGTGCATTGCAAATACAAGTGACTAGTGCAAAAAGGTGGTAAAGGACATCAGAATAATCTGCTGGAAGCCTTAATGATCTCGGCAAGGAAACATCTCCAGATGTGATGCATTGTAAGCTTTAATGATCTTGCTGGGTTTTTGGATGCAATCCGGAAATGCTTCTCGTCTATGAATAGATGATGGTTAAGTAAATCAATGGATAAACTCGAGATTGGTAAGTTGGTGGATGGACTCGAAGTTGGGGGATGGATCCAGGATTGATGAAAGGATTCAGTTTATAGAAGTGGATCTGATGTGGATGAATCGCCGAAACAGTAGATGCTAGGATGGGCTAATTTAGAGCATAACTGTCTCATATTTCTAGAAATCCATACAAGCTGAAGTTAAGGTAACTTGGAGGGTAGAGTCGGAGTATCTTTATCCCTACTGTTCAGACAGGGAAGACAGTTTCTCCATTGAGCGGCCGTAGCAAAATAAAAGGCTTTTATTACCTCATTCTACCGGTAGGCTGTTACTTGAACATGGAGCAGACGCTGGCATCGTGAGTTTTGAGCAGGAACTGCCGTTGGACGTAGCACAGGGTGGAGATATGGTAGCCCTGCTGAAGGACTGGATGCAGCGCCAATCAATCGACGAGAAGGCTGCGCGCGGCGCCGAGGAGCAGCAGATGCTAAACGATGCTCGGGAGTGGCTTAGATCTGGCCAGTATCCGTAAGTCACTCTCGACTCTACAGTCTCGCTGTCTCACTATATACGCACACAGTATCTCTTGATTATAACACGTTATTCGTTTATTTGCCAATAAAATAAGCAATAACTGTAAGCCACATCTGTTCTCTTTAAGCTCTCTCCACTTTCCGTTCCCCATTGGCATGTTCACGTTATCCTACCTTGTACCTGCATTTTCAATTGCACGGCAATATTAAATCGTTAAAAATGAAGCATTTAGTGATTCCAAGTCAAACTTGCTGCCTCTGCATTTGATTCACTTTTGCTTTTTCCCGTCGATAATGCCTTTGTTATTCTCATCCTCTGTCCCTTTTCGTATGTTGCACTTCTTCATAACCTCCTCCCTTTCCAGATATGGAGCATTCTTCGATCAATCGCCATAAATTTGCGGTATTTGTAATTCATCCTTATTCCCTTTTCTTAAACTGAGGATTCTCATCCGCCTTTTATTCTAATCGCCGTCTTCACATAAAGAATGTGTTGTAATTTCTTGCCTTTATATCCAGTCTTCCTTGAAAAGTAATAGCATCAAAAAATTTTGGTTAGTTGACGTCGCTTGCATTAAATTTCATCTTGGATGTTTCCGATTTCTTGTCATAGTAATTTGGAAGATTTGGAGTCATCATTGTTATCGTCATCGTTGCTATTTCAAAGGTACATGTTTGGCTTTGAGATTATAATCACACCAATTTCCGTCTCTACGGCCTATCTTGGGATTATCTTTGGATATCTGTCTCAAACCTCCAACGAGGGAAAGCGGGATTAGCTACCGAATATACCCCACAGTATGTGTCGATTCACAGCTTGGACGATGTGTTCCGTAGTCACAGGAGGTAACCCGAACCGAAAGCTACCCGTAGTGAAAGCATCTGATGCATCCACCTCAAACTACTCGCGGAATGTGTGCAATGAGGTTCTGCGCATATACCTTTTGCGTAAAGTAACTCCATGATGTGCTGACTTGTTGTAACTTAAAAGGGCATCCAGGCAAACCTACGTGTGCGTTATTTCATCGGTGCAATTCTCCTTGATGTTCTCTAATCTCATTTGAACCAGGTGGATGTGATTCCAGGTCAGCTACTTTACCGACTGACTTTAAAGGGATTTTAAGGTGGAATCTGTGGCTACCCGTGAGATTTTGTTCCATAGAATTTGGAGGACTTGCGTTAGAATATTGTACCATCCCTGAACGATTTAAACCAACTTGGTTTTGGTGGTGAATCGCTTAGTGGTAGATACGTCTCATCCTCTATTCTTAATTATTCCTGACTACTCAATGTGATGTGAGGATTTGAATTTTCCCTTTCCCAGGCTACTTGATTCCTCGTCATTGGTCAAGCGCCGCGGGAGGAAGGGAATTAAACTAAGCCCAAGGCAGTAGTGCGTAACGTGGATCGTCTAAAAGTGAGGTTTAATTAAGGTGGATGAAGTATCACTCTCAACCTACGTGTAAATTATCAGCAGTATCAAGACTTGGTATACGTTGACATCCTCATGTCCTAATGTATTAAACGTCTACGTATTAGCTTAAATTTTAAGGGATGTCGTATTGGCCGTATCGAGTTACGCTTTACTTTTCTGAGAAATTGTTTTCGATAATCATTGTATATGTCTATCAAAATCCTTCCTTTTAAAAAGCAGACCAATTTTTTGTTGGAACTAGAACCTTTCTATGGATAATTACTTGTTATGCGTGGGTATGAATTTCACAGAGTACCCAGTGTACAGTTGCTGATGTTGTGGGAAAAAAACGGCCAACGTCTGAATGTTGTTAACCTCTCTCCTCTGCTTTCGCTACAGAAGTGTGGTTGATCCAAGAACCGGGGCTACAGCATTACACATCGCGGCGGCAAAGGGCTATTCGGAGGTTCTGGAGCTCCTTTTAAAGCTACCTAATGTGGAGATTGACGCCACGGACGTTGATGGGTGGACGCCATTGCACGCCGCCGCGCACTGGGCAAAGGAGAAGCCGCTACGGCTTCTTGCTGCCGCTGGTGCTTCTTTTGATACCATCACGCTCACTGTGAGTGCTCCCTTTTTTCGTGGGTGTTTATTGACTTCCTCTTTGCTTGTTCATATGCTTGTCATTCCCTTAGGCTACATCTTGGCCTATCAATCTTTGATCCATCCATTATTTATTTTATCCACTCATTCACCGCCTCAGTCAACAAACCAATCACCAATTTTCATTCAACTTGCAGAATCAATCAATTTACGACGTAGCCGACCGCAGTGTGACCATGCTACTGCGACAGCTGCGTATCGTGAGTTTTCGTCTCCTCCTTTACTCAATCGATTTCTTCTTTATGTTGTTCTCATCCGTCCTCATTCCTCTTCTTCACCTGTAGGAACAGCAGCGTACGGCAGCGGCAGCAGCGGAGGAGAAACCGGTGGTTGCTCCGCCCACCGTTGCAACTCGACGAAAGTATGCACTCATTTGTTCACTTTTTTGTCTGTTGAGTGAAAGGGCGACTTCATTGCCGCCTTAAGAAGAGGTGTTCATTCACTGCTTGTAGTGAAGCTTATTCGGACTCCGGGTTTAGTAGTTAAGGCCTTACCGCAATTCTGGCTAGAGGGCCTGTTTAAATCACAGACTCGATCATAAAATGATGGAGGGTTTCCTAGCCACTTTTTGCTTAAAGCGTCAAATCTAGACTGCGCCATTACATTACCTACTTGCGGCAAGTCAGTTTTATTTCCTAAATGCTTTTTTCCAGACAAGGTTTGACCTTTGGTTTTTTACCGGCCGATCAAGATCGTTTCGCCTTGAAATGATTCTCCGGCAATGCTTCATTTTGCAGACATCCTCTCTCGTTAGATGATTCCCTGATTGACGATACTTTGATCTCTGTGTGTCCAGGTCTTTTGTGTGTCTAGCTGGTCATTGATTTGTGACTGACTCGTTACGATTTTTTCACTACAAGTTCAACTTTACTGACACTTTTGACTATTTAGTAAGGCATGCTCAAATTTGGATTAGACGAGAGATGAATATTTGAGGCAGGAAAGTACTTTGACCACATAAAGACTTTCATTCTGTAATATTTAGGCATGTGCAGGAAGTGCCTACAAACCGTTTATTTTTAGGCGCGAATATGCCCCTCAACTCATAAGCATTAGCTTCCGAACCCTTGGCAATCACTAGAGTCTTCCCTATAGGACCAAACCGCTCCTGATCTTATAAGCTTTGTTTCGCATACGATTTGTGGAATTGGCGATTGTGCGGCCTCGAATCGTGATAAAATTTACCAGCTCCTCCTTCCCTTATGTGGTGATTAAGGTAGGGCGATTTCCTGACCAATTCATTGGCTTCAATCAGCAAGCCACCAATAAGAATAGAACCCGCTTTGTTGTCATACTTAAAGAAATTTAATATCTTAAGAGGAATTCTATAACTTACTCAAATATAGCAACGAAAAGTGCATTTTTGCCATTAGTAGTTACTAAAGTTATAAGTGTGGAAGTTGAAGTGGGTGTATTAATCTTGCACAATAGTGCAACCACCTTCTTACATGTGTTCAGTTAAATAGAGCAAAAAGAAACGTTTTTTTTCTAATTTTGCCTAAACAAACTACTGCACAACAGGAACTGTTAACATTGGCAATGAAGAAATTCGGATGATCTTTCATCTTTGCACAATTTCTCAATGTCTGGAGGGCGCGTTCCATGTCTGAGAATTTTCAGAGGTCCTGGCAAATTTCTTTTCTCGTAGACTCTCCCTTTAATAGGTGTGGCGGGTCACTTACTGAGGAGGTGTTGTAGTTAACAACTTTTAGCTGCCCAATAATAGTCTTCCCTTCTAGAGCTGAGGATGACGAGAAAGAGATCTCAAAATCAAGGAAAATGATGGAGGTGGAAGAAGAAAGGATTAAAGTTGAGGACGATGTCAAACCAGCTGCTTCGAAAGTTCCAAAAACCACTCAAGATAACGAAGAAAAGGAGGCAGAAGAGGAGGAGGAAGAACAGGAGGCGACACTGCCGAAAGTGCAGAAAGACGAGATTGCAATGAAGATTGAAAAGGAAGAAGAAAAGAAAGCGAGGGAACGTCTGTTGGAGAAAGAGGAGGTGAAGGAGGCGGAGAAACCATCTTCTTCTTCGCCATCACAACCAACAGTTGCGCCACCTATTAAAGGTAAATGAGGCCGATGTAGCGTGCCAATTTGTTAGGTCAATATGAAGCTTTTTCTCCACTTGGCTGTTTGACCCTAGTCAAAGCGTCTTTCCGGCCTCTGCTAGATTTAGCCTTTACCACTGTCTTTTTTGTATATTTTAGCAGTTTTTTGCTGGCTTAGTCAGTCCTAACGACTTATTAGGACGTGTCGACTTTTTTATCACTGAATGAAAGGGCTGGAAGCGGGTATCATGTTAATCGTAGTATATCATCCACATTTGTTCCATTCTCGATGCTGAGGTGGTTACCAAAAGTCGATGCCGTTTTGGTATCTCTTCTTTTGCGAATCTCCGCCGATCTGTCCATCTCTATCAGATGGGTGATTTTTTATTATCCATCCTTCGTTTAACACCCCACTTTATTGAGCCGAGGAAAGGGCCGTTGTAATCTCTTTGACGCTGTATTTGAAACCGTAATGAAATCACACCAGTGTGGATGCACAGATTTATAGATGAGCCGAAAGTCTGCCATATTGTATGCAAAATTGACTGTTTTCAATTATCCAGTAAAATAAATTTTCATTCTCTCTTCCTTTCTATCCGCTTTGTAACTGCTAGTGCGCGTTGTTTTGAATTATTAAAGTATGCCCTTTTCTACATCGGTAGAAAGGGTATTTAAGCATATTGAATCGATTGTTGCTAAGTTAATTTCACTTATTTTACATTTAATCGCAAAGAAGTGGTAATTTCCGGCAATTTTTGATAGAATGGTTTTTTATTGCACTAGCAGTGTATGAACTGTGCGGGGCATGAGGCACCTTCCACTCGCCATTCAACAGTCCATATGTTTTGACAATAATCAATACCTTGAATTCCAGTGGGATCCTTTATGTCGGGTGAACTACTGACGACCCTTCTTAATCATTCACATGGTCCTTTTAGAAGAAGAGGAGTCAAAGGTTGAGGAGCAGCCGACAACCCCAATGAAGGAGGTGGAAAAAGTCGGTGAAAAGTCGGCAGTACCATCGCCACCGCCACCGCCACCGCAACCACAAACTGCGAATGTTGCGGGTGTCTCCTCTGTGAAGACTCCAGTAAGCCACTTCTTTCATACTTAGTCGTAAAATGAACGCTCTTCAACTTGGGTTTCACTTTCACTTGCATGCACGAAGGCCTTGATACAAAACTAAACATGGTTCACCTACAACGTTGCAGTGATTTAACGTAAAGTCTTATGACCGCCTTTAAGTTTTGGTTTTAGAAACCTAATTCAAAATGCCAGCCTACCAGCTTTTTAGTTATAGAATCACCACTTCATACGGCCTTGGTGATAGGATGGTTTTTTGCCGAGATGTTTCAGAGCTTTGGAGATGGAAAGCTGGGACTATTTCATGAAGTAGAGCAGACGTTGTTTTGCTATTTCTCAGTACATTAAGTGTTAAGGTATAAGCGATTCCGATTTTGGGAACATTGTAGTTGACAAACTGGAGAATGGAGTCGCCTGTCACTAGCTAACTTCGCACTAAGACCACCAACTGGTGTGCTGTACGTTAACCCGCTATTCAAATATCTCGTTTGTTGCTGTTCCAACCTGATTTTCGCGCTACTGTATGGCAGCTCTGCTGCTGAACCCGTTTTTGGAAAAAAAATTTACTGTTGATCTATGATTGTACCTGAGTTCGCGCAAAATGTGCTGTTTGAAACAGACAAAAGGGCGGTTGTGGAGAAGTTGCACTTTTGATGCCGATTTTGGAGTATAGTTCTCAAATAGAAATGCCAGTGTCACGCGTCTTTCTTATTCACCATTTTCTCTTTCATCAATGTATCTTTTGCATCATTGCCAAAGCACTGACGTTGTCTGTTGGTGAATTTCGACTATCAAAGGTTTTACATTTCGCATGTCATATTTATATTCCATCGGCATAAATTAATGTTTCGGTGAGGTAATTTGAGCCAAAAAATCCACGAGCTCAGAAATGCATTGTTCCTCTTCCTTTTTCAGCACTCGACCAATCAGAACAGCCAGGTGTCGGAGACCGTGGTGACCTTGGACACAACCAGTATATCCACCGGTAGCGGCCCTAGTCGAAGGTGAGTTCTCCCCCTCCTCTTTACACCCCTCTTTGTGTATCATTTCCTTTTGATGCCAGGTTGTCTTTTTCACATATCCACCACCAGCTCACGTTACGGTAGGAAGGACACCGCGACTATCAAACGGTAGGCCCACAAATGCCGCTCTCTAACCCTGGCTAACCGCTTATGAGGAAGAAGGTTACACTGCTGCTGTTTGATTTACCTCATGAAGTACGGAATGTTTCTCATGAATTCAAATAGCATGTCGCACCTTTCCACACTGGTAACAGAGAGCCATCAGCGGGTTAAGGTGACAGCAAAACCGTGCCAACGACAGCAGCCTAGTTGCGTAACCGCTCTACTGTGGGAATCATGTCTTTCTGTACTTAGGAATTAAACGTTTCACGTCTAACAAAATCGCCCGGGTGTTACAGTGAAACCTTGGGTTTAATGGCATTGATAAGTGGCAAGAGTGTAGTCTTTTTTTCCACGCTCTTCTGATTCTAACACTTTCGTACTTTCTTTTGTCCATTCTGCACAATTTACTTTTGCTTGTAACCGGGCCGCATTGCTTTCTACCCCCTGTTTGCCCAAACAATAATAGGGTAATGCAGCTGAGGCACTCACTGACTATCCCTTTCACTGCATTGCAATCCACATTTATTCCATTATCTAAAAGGTCAAAAATTTCCAAGGAGACGATGAATGATACATCATTGCTTGATCCTTTTTTTAAAATTTGGGGAAGATCGGTACCTCCGCGTAACTTTGGGTCTAAAGTCACTTCAATAGCTTGAAGAGGGCTACATAAGGGGGTTTGCTGTATTCAGGGCAAGACTACTCCCTTTAGATATAGTCCTCATGTAAATGAATGAGTTGATTTGTCCTTGATCCTCCGAAGCGATTATGCAAAGTTGAATTGGTGTCCGGATTTCCCGAATCGCCTTATCAGCCAGGCACACACTGCTTGTGGCTAGATTGGGCGCACCTCTATCACAAGAAACCGTTAAACGCTCTTTTTAGCGCCTCTTTCCTAACTTCCTCAATCGGCGGGTTCGTCCACTGTCACTGCTCTGGCATCAGAACTCTGATCTAATTTCAGCCTTACAAACTTTTTGATTCAAAATTAAACTCAGGCCATTCTGTGTTAAAGAGATACCATTGAATGAGAAACTACTCCTTACATCACATCATCTACACTGTTCACCTGTATCTTTGGCCATTTATCCGTGGCAGGATCTCGGCGGTGCTGGCGCCCGCTCGCTCGGAAGAGACGGAGGCTCAGCGGAGCAGCAAGGCACGTCTAGTGCGCTCTACTCGTCGCTCTACGCAGGGCATCGCCAATGATGTTCTTGAAGAGGCCAAACGTCTCAGTGTTGCCGGTGCTTCCACCCCAACCTCCTCTACCACTACTCCTGCCGTAGCCGCCATTGTCTCACCCACACCAGTTCAGGTAGGACCATAAGATTTTCTTTCCACCTTCCCCCCACGTCACTCCTTTGTGCAGTGTTGTTGTGTCCATGGGACAGCTGTGCTTTGGAGGCAAGAACGAAGGTTACGGTCAATTCATTCCACATCTATGATGTTGCAGACAGCTAACAGCTATGGTAAGCCTTAGCATTCACCAACATATGGATAGAAGTTGCAGAAGACCTGTGTTGGAATCTACAGTATGGGATAGATAAGTGGATAGGTGAATGGAGGGACAGCAAGTAATTCTGACGTATGTCCTGGTTACGGCATCCCAGTACGCCGCCTTGTTTTTTTTTCAAATCAAGCGTTTGCTCATACCAGTCTCCATTGCCTTCGTCATTTGCTGAATGTGCCCATCGCCTACACCTTGTTTTCCTGCTTCATTCTCCCTAACTTTTATGATGGACAGCGTCATCGCCTAGCTGAAATTAAGTAATAATTGGTCGATCCATCCACTGCCTGACCAACTATCATTTATGTTTTGGTGCGCTTTTGTGATTGGCAGTTACAGGCTACCTACAGTGGTGTGTTCTAATTGCTCGATTTTTTTTTTCTACCTCATTGTTTCTTATCCCCCTCTCCTTACTCATCACATTCTGATTGACAAGGAGGTAGCAGCCCTGCATTGCATTATGCTTCCCTTCCGTGTTAAGCCGCTTCGCTGGGTCAGGTGCACTAACGCCTTCAGCACGTGTCTGGAAGTATTTCGGTGGGAAAAAAATAAGAGCACATTTTTCATGGATAGAAGTCCTTTTACGTAATTTGTAAATCAACTTGTTGTCTTTGCTTCTCAATACCTCCTCGCCGTAGAAATTCAAATGCGTATTTTTGAGTTTGGAGAAGAAATAATTCCTGCAGGTGCAAACTTTCTTCCACTTTTCGACATAATTCTCTTGTATATCTATGCGCTCAGTGCTTCCACCTCGTCTTGGTACCCGGCGTGTGGTAAGACATCGAGATCAGAAATGTGTCCGAAGTTGTTTGTAGACAGAATGAGATGGGTGGGAACTGTAGTTGTACGCTTTGACTGAGGTAGCTTCATCACCCACCACTGTTGCTTGTCATCTTGATTAAGGGGACAGTGGGGACTGGACGATTGGTCTACGGTAATTGGACAGACCGTTAGTACTCGCAATGGGGCCCACTTGGTGCTTACCGCGTTTTGTAGCTACTGCCACACTTTGAAGTGGGTATAACCCTTGGTGTTTTGTTCTTGTCATCTTTTATATGATTCCACACTTTCGCCCTATCTTATAATTAACTGTTTGACAAATTTTCTTATATAGCCTCTAAAATTCCATTTCATGACCGGAAATTGAACTTTAATGCTTAAAAGAAGTCGTTGAAACCTATAGCATCATGGGAATCATCAAATGACCTTGAAGGTCAGAAATGCACATTTTAAGTATCTCAGTACTTTGCTATATTTTTTTTGGCTTATTCACGTCAATATTTTTCTTCACGATATCTTCTTTCAGGCCATTTTCAGTTTGGTCGCTTATTTTTCCTATCGAATTCGCGCTTTGCTTGCCCAATCTTGTTGATAATTCTTACTAAATCATCTTCCACGTGGACTTTTGGTGGTCATTCCGCTCCGTTTTAGAAATTGGTTGCTTATTTTACCCACTATTTGTCGTGGTAATGCCAAACCTTGTCCTATCGGTCGTGTGCCCTTCAGATATTTCAGGCAACTCTTTTTGATGATCATTGCTCGTGCCTTCTGGGATCCTTTCCAATCGCCTCCGATCAAACCAACCCACCAGGCGTTTATTAGGGAGGCCATATTTTGTTTAATCAAGTTTTACGTTGTGTTGCATCCTAATATTTCATTTCCTTGTTTATTTCGATCACTTCGCGTCAATATCTCGTGTTCTTACCTGGCAACCATCTTGAGTTCTTCAGTTGACATCAACTGGTACCAATGAGGTGACATCCTATTGGTCAATCAAGCTGTTCCAATACTTGCCATTATTCCATTCAGGCAATATTTTTCCGTGACTGGAAGTTTAAATCCTGACTTATTAGATGCCCCCTAAGTTAACCAACACAACATTCGGGCACTTTTTTAAACCTGGTTGACCATTAGCAACCTTCTGAACACCCTATCAAGCACTGAATCCCATATTGAAAATATCCGTACCGTTTTAGTTCTGATCGGAGTAGGAAATGGGGTCCACATTCAATCACCTCTGTGTGTATGTTTGTGTGTGTGCTTCAGCCAATTGACAAAGCCATAGCCAGCTCATTCACTTCATCATTCATCTCGCCGGTAAGTGCTGTAGCATCTCCCCTCTTTCTCCACATGCATGATCGTCTTTGCCTAGTTCGCGGAATACCATCGAAGGTGGCGCGAGCACCAGAGATGAAGCAGGCGAACTGTTTCGTATGTGTGTGGTGCTTCTTGTACGAAGTATTGACGCCACTCATCCATCCGCATGCCAATTTTAGGGTGGTAGTAATAACAGTGGTACACATTCTTTTTCCCCCTGTCGACAGGCCATGTTTTTCAAAAACAAACAAAACCACAAAGTGCGTGTCTTCATCCCCTTTCTGTGAATGCGATGACAATAGCGCGCTCATTTCGCCTCACATCAACTTGGCTAAGCCATTCACCCTATTGCCGAAAGAAAGCTTTCTGGCTCCTGCCAGCATGTGTGTGTGAGGCTGCGCATCAGCTTCCGTGTTGAATTTTCCTTCTCTTCCTATGACTTTTCACTCGTAGAATTCATCAACACAACTACAACTACCGCCACAACCACCAAGATCACCACCGCCATCCTTTGCCTCAAAGGTCACACTGGGTCACCTTGCTCGACCGGTGAGATGTTTCTTATTCTTACCCCTCTCTACCTTTCCCACTTTTTTGCCGAAAAGATAACTCCTCAACCTGACTCTCAGTCGTTGATAAGTCGTCTGCATCGTAACGCCTTTATCGGCAGAGTAAACCGCGCTGAGTCTTTTGAGGTGTCTGTGCGTAGATTGCTCCCTCGTGCTTGCCCTCCTGTGGTTTGATCGGTTCCCCACTCTTAGTGAATGCCTCTGTATTTTTTTATCTCTGCGTGTTTTCGCTGACACTTCTAACCCAGAAGTACTTCATGTAAATCCAGAGTTCCCTAGATGGCGAGACAACTGCAGACACGGCTGAGGTGAGTTGTAGTTACAAACAGCACGAAATTTTCCTCTCCGCTCGGAATGTTTCACACCAAAGTTGATGTGTGTGTGTGCGCGTGTAGTAGAGTTCAAATTAGTTCACACCACTCCTTTCAGATCTCCTGCGAAGACACTGAGAGCCGCGTGAGCCCACCGCGTGGGCCCCGATTATCAATTTCTCTTCGAAGTGTTCGATGCCTGGTAGGCACACTATCAAAAAAAAGTCCCAGTTGCAAACTCTAAATTCACTTCTACTTTACCCAAATAAGTAGTGAAACCTACTGATACCTGTTCTTTCTTGCAGTCCGCACGGAAGCTGCCCGCCGGCTTGGACCTTGACGAGACGGAACAGAAACCGACGTCATTCACTTCTACCACACACGTCTCCAAGGCGACGATTACTCCCACTCAGTCTTCTTCTGCGACCACAACTGCTCCGGGTAAACGTCCTATGCGTCTACTTTTATTGCTTCCAAACACCTATTGTGACTGGTGATTATTTTCCTCTTATAGCTGCGGACACTTCGCCCTCATCAATAATCACGCATACACGAGCACGTCGTGCGGCCCGGGATAGAGTCCCCACGGGTCGATTGAATACGAATGACGTGCTGGCGGCAGCGAAACAAGTGGAGCAGAATGCCTCCATTGATAATACTGCCGCTGCTACTACTACTACTACAGTCGCCGATCCCATTCCACGCGTGAGTAATCACCCATAAAATTAATCCTGCCATAATCTTAAAGTATATAAGTTTTTTCGGTAGAAATCATACCTCCGCTTTATTTTATCAAGCCAACAACGCGTGCCCTTCGCTCGACAATTTTAAATACCACCCCATCGACCACCACCAACGACGCTGTGAGCAATGGTGCGGGTGGAGACCGGCATAACTCGCCAGCTACATCTCAGTTCTCCCCAACTTCCTCCTCCGCCTCCCCCGTCTCCTCTGTTGGCAAGCTAAGTGATCAGCGGTACAACTGGCGCGAGGTAGCTCCCTTTAGCAATCAGTTTATTGTCCTAAAGCCCGTTACCAGTTTCCCTTTGAGGTTACTACGGGGAATACTTTTCTGTTGAAGTGCAGAAAAGCTTTTCTCCAATTTTATAACCTGGTAAATCCATTTTGAGGTCTCAACTCTACATGTTGAATTTGCGCTGTCTTTACGGTGCATGTGAAATCCTGTTCTATTCGGCTATTTCGTGTGATAATGTTTTGGTATCTGTTGTTGGGTCCACGCACCGTACCAGTCTGGAATCAGCCTTATTAGAGACGTCCGTGGGGGCCCTGAGACTAATGGTATGAGTGGCGCATGCAGAGCTTCGCCCTACCAGTGCGTAATCTAAACAATGACAAATTCAAGCAAGTGAACAGTTGGTATCTGCGTGTTCTGTGTGCTTTGCAGAACCTGGACTACCGCCTCCTGTACGAAGAGGAGCGGAGCGAGAAGGAGCGATTAAAGCGCACTCTTGATCAGGTCAATCGCGAGGTGGCCGCGCTACGTAGCGAACTAGCTCGTCTTCACGTCTCCAACTCCGCCTCCACCACCCTTAATGCGAACAGGCACGGTAGTTCGGCGTCCAACACCGACGCATCCCCTGCTGCGGTATGTTTACGTCTGTCCGCTTGTTTCAGTCATCCTCCACTGGCTTGGTGTTGTGTGTTCTACATTGTTGCTCGAGTTACAGCTAATGCATGCCCCTTGAAACACAATATGATTGGTTATTTGGCGAAAGGAAGGATATTGGTTGATAATATCACTGAAGGCTGGCTGAGTATGAGATATCCGATTGGGCGAGTCGGTTATTTATAAAATTAAAGTATCCTATACGTCAAAAGCTAGTTTGCTTAAGGTGGTGGAATGTTATCGCCATTTCTACCGCTTTGACGGTCTTTGTTTTCAATTCACCATTGATGTATACCCTTGGTAGCGTTGGGCGGTCGGCACCCGGCGCATGACTCATTTGTATCCAATGCGATGGTGAATGTGAGTACTGGGGATGTCTGTAACCCCTGAAAACGTCCCAATTTCGATTTTCCAGAAGTTTCCCTCCGAACATTGTACCATGAATGCTTGATAATGAGAGCACTGTGTGTCTCCAGCATTCAGCCGCCAGGCATGCGTACACACGCGCTCCACTCCCGGCTCGCCCTTACAAGTATTCCGAGTCGGCTACAAAAACATCTGCATTTCAGACTTTGTTTCTCCGTTATTCTGGTAGTGACTTTCATACGAAATCAACTCTACAGGGACTTCACAGATGACCTGTGGAGATCCAAACAGGTGCAATTTCACCTTCAACAGATGGGTGTTCATTTTGCGAAAATGCAGTTTAAACAAAGGCAGACTCCATGCCACACCGTGCTTAGCCTCAGCGTTGAATGTGTTGTGCCTTATTTGCTTTGCAGCTTCAACGACGTTCCGTGGATTTCTTTGAAGACCAAGCCAAGGTGTGCATGCCCTTTCGTCTCTTTTTCCTCTTCTTGCCCCCCCTCTCCTCTGCTCGTTCACTATCTTGCTAGTTTGCTTGCATGCATGCGCAAATGCGTTTCTTTTCCTGTTACTTAGTGTTCGTTTGTTGTTCCAAGTTTTAAGTGTCAAAATCTCCGCGAATAAAGAGGAACGGTTCCCATTACTGTTGTTTTTTTATCAACAGGAAATAGATCGGCTGCGTCAGGAGAATGCGCGCATGGCAGACGAAAACAAGTCGTTAATTCGAGTGATCAGTAAGTTATCGGCGCGCACAACTTCGTGATGTCTTCCGTGTCGACTCACCTTGTCCTGATCTGCCTCCTACCATATCGCTATTGGACATGAACTGGTTTCACCTGCTCTGTCCGCCTCTGCTCTTGTACATAGTAATGAAGAGGTCATCACCAACACTACTGATACCCCAACACCGTTGTCCGTGCCCTCCTACTTGAAAGTGAACAAAAATATGTTTCATTTTGTGCCTCTTCTTCAACAGCGTCTTCTCTTTGCCTGTTCCCCTCACTCCTCATCTCTTTACTGCCCAGCCTTTTATAGGAAGAACCAGAACAGATACATGCAGAACACTAGAATCGACGACCGTCACAAATGCCTTGTGTCCAACTTCTTGTTGGGATTGGGAGGAAAGGAACTAAATTGGATTTGGAATTAGGGTTACCTAATTGATGACTCCCGAACGGGTGAACCGATTACTAAGCAACGTGGTAGTGATTTTTTAAAAGATCAGACAATATGTGTGTAGACTACACGATTTATTTGGTAGAGGTGTTAAAATGCAAAAGCACCTTTAGCATACGGTCAGAAACGCGAGTAGGGGTTGTAGCGGTGTGTTCCGGTTCCACCGCTTCGTCCCCGTGGATGTCTGTCTCTTCCCATCGGCTGTCGCCTATTCCCTGCCAGCAGGGCTGCCACGAGGGGATGTGGTTGTTGCCTGCGCCTCTCCTCCTCCGTTCTCAAGGCTGCCGGTTGCACCGCAATTTGTGAGGTGTTGCGTAATGCCGCTTCAATGCGTCGTACTGCCTGCCTGTTCTGCGCGTGGCTTAGTTCTATCAAAAACACGAATAATGATGTGCAAAATCCTCCACATTACTGGTCAATTTATCGGCACTCATCAATCAATTCATGCATCTCTAGGTTTTTTTTCATTTAATCCATTCCCTTTTTAGATATATCCACCAACCAATCATAGCAATCATTTGGGCACTATCCACTACCCAATTTTCCCAGATTTGTCCACTATTTCCGCTGTCATCGCCCAAAAACCTACTCAGAAAAGGAAAAAACTTACTTGGGGGAGAAGGAGGTTGAGCGATCGGTTTGGCTGAAACTATCCCCAACTTTCCATAAAGGTCGGGAACAGAGGTGGTCGACCTATGTCTATCTCCAGGCTGCGTCGAGATGTGGGGCCGTGGTCAACATGAAAGAGGAAATAGAAAAAAAAAAGAACAAGATGATGAATTTTGCTGTTCAAAGGTTGGACATGATCAACAAAGGTAGTAATAAATGATTTCTGTTTGGAGGGGTACAGACTTTCCTTTACTCAAGATGACACGCAACAGTAGTGGTGTGCATACTGCATGTCACAGCGTGCTGTGCGGTGAGTGATGAAGTTGCCTCCTAGTTAAGCCGCAAAACTACAACTTCCAGCTATTTTCTCCCACCTAAAAGCCACTTCCAGCAAAGTGCCTCCAAACACCACGTCAAGCAACAGGGCACCTCAGTCACCAGTGCAGACGTTTCTAGGGCAACCGTCATCTTCATTGGCATAGTGAGAAGCGGCAATCCCACACGTGACGGTTTCTAAACCATAGCACTACAGCCAATTCCGTGAACATTCATTCAACGCCATTCTTATTCCGAACAGGGGATTTGCGAGTAGTCCACCCCAAAATGGAACAAGACACGAACCTTTCGATGGAAACGCTGAGTGCAATGACGTCACTCACGAACATTTATAGTCTCCACAAGTTAGCCAACACTAAGGATCAACATTTCAGCACCAATGAAGAGGCGAAGCAGGCCGTCCTGGAAAAACTCAGTCGTATTGGCAGATCCTCCTTTGGCAAAACTGCTCCTAACTGCTTGGACGATTGGATAAGCGTGTATATGAATGTACCAGGGGGCTCTGCGTGCCGAGAGGTAGATGCACTTTCAACCTCTTGAAATTCGTCCCCTTATATCACAAAACCAGACAGAACTGAATCAATACCTTTGGACAGGGGACATAAGTCACCGGACAAGAGCATTTGAACAAATCACTGAGATCAAAAGCCTGCAATTTGATCCAATTTGGATTTACAGTCTGATAAAAGCTAACGCTTCATCATTTAAAGTCAGTCACAAGCTTTCCTCCAAAAAATCAGCATTATTAGTGATTACGAGTTAAAGTATGGTCGGTCAACACCATTTAAAGCTCAAATCAACCTCCAAAACTAACAAATCTTTACACTCCAGTTGTGGAATGGCAATAGGTTGGTCTAACAGAAACAGAGAGGATACATGGCTTATCGACAACAGAAACACAATAAGTACCGTGAATAACACAAAAGGGAGAACACTCAAAAACTGACACAACAACGATGACTTTTACTGTTGATAACTGCAAAAAAAAGTGAAATCCGTACACAGTCACTCAGTTTGAATAGTCCAATCATGGGACACTAAAGCAGAATCAGTGTTAATCCATATAAATCCCAAGTTTAGGGACTCATAAGAAAAAACTACTTCCTGATTTTCATTCAAAATCAACTTTTACGAAAATATGGATGAAGTAAAGGAGCAGTTAAAAGGAGAATTGTGATCTCGGATCAACAGGAGTTGCTTATTGAGAAGGCACTTGAAGCAAATTTTTTCCTTTTGTAGAGTAGGAAACGGAGTTGATCATATCCCTATGACATGACATTCTACTAGCCACGGCTTGATTCTGTTTTGATCAGTGCAAAAAAAGAATAAATCGACCCGGTTTGAGCTCAAAATCCAACTTAAAAACTCACGAATCTCCATGCACCAACTTTGAGAGAGCAATGGGACAATTTAAGTGGGAAACACTACTTACCGAGAGCCGCCATCATCATCAGCGAAAGAAGCGGTGGTAGTGAGGAGAGAGGAAGAAGTTGCATTGAGTCTTTGAGCGAGCTCTTCCTCGCGTCGCTGTCGATCAGCTTCAATGCGTGCTCGTTGCGCCTCCTCGCGTGCCTCCCACCACTGCGCCAACGCCTCACGCGTTGGCCGAGCACGTTGCGCCGATAGTACAGAGCCGTAGAATTGCCGCCCGTTCAGACTGTAAAGACCGTCGCCAAACATAAGAGCTCACAGCCCTACAATCTCTTCATGCCTCGTGGTCCAAACTTATACTCCGAAGCCTGAGTAGGCTTTGGTGCCTTTTTTGTGCGAAATAACTCTCTGTTAGACCTGGCAAGACGAAGCCAATATCGCAGAAGTTGACTGGGTTTTCGAAGTTAACTAACAGTAATTGATATTTTTAATTCTCCACGGTTTCAACTACAGCCTTGACCGCTAATTAGATTCCGGCAAAGCGGCAATTAGAAAGTGGCATTGCTTCCGTCTTCACTTCGTGATAAGTTGGATTCTTTTAGCTGTGATTTAGATCGCGTCTATAGACCAAACTTTAGCGAAGCGGAGACCGCATCAAAAGGCGCAAATGAGCCTCCTATTCCTGTCTCTAATGCATGAAATTTCTCTCCATTCGAGACAATTTAGTCTATATCTTTAAACACTGGCTAGAGTCCACTAAAACGATAAACTGGGAGTATTACAGAGCGTAGAAGTGGAAACTTAAGCCTGCAGTAGATATGGTGTCGACGTTGAATCCTAATCAATGGAATTTACTCCTATTCACAGTGACTTAGACAACATTTTTGGTTTTTAGTTTGATATGGGTCAAGTAGTAACTGAGTCTTAAGTCGTAAAGTCTGTAAACGAAACTCCATTCCATCTAATGTTACTGAGAAATAACTCCCAATTACCATCCAGATATCAGTGACATACCACACCCTAGATGTCAACTGCAACCTCTAAGGGAATATCACGAGAAATGTTACAATAAATCCTGAAACTAGCACCAACTACCGCATTGCGAAAAGGGTACGAATGAGGGATGAATTAATTAAAATATCATAATTGATAAGGAAAGCATTGGAAGCAGAGTTCAAGCGATAATAACAATGAATACTGTTACATTTCGCATCGGTAGTGGCATAGAAATTCAAAAAATCCTGTTTTAAGTTAGTAGTTTTGCCAAAATGGAATGCAAGAGGGGACAGATCGGGTCATAAATCTAGGAGTATATATTTAACAGCCATAAGACAATGATGCATATACATGAGACAGCCATGGAAACCCCTAAAGCTAACCTTCTCAATAGGTTAATTGAGCCAGATTAATTACCGAAGTTCTTCAATAAGAAATGCTGAAATGCTAATTAAAACAGGCCAAACCTTTCCATTGCCTTGAGAGCACATTCTTCTGCGGCAAAGGTGACGAAGCAATAACCAAGTGTGGAACCCTGCAAAAGACCTCCAGATTGATGAACAGGAAAATCGAAATCTAGAATTCTGCCAAACGGTCGAACTAGTTGCAAAACAGCAAACTCTGTTGACTTTGGAGGGAGATTCGCCAGCCATACCCGCCTAGGATCAACTGTGCCCTCACAGGGATCGCTATCCATTAGTTTTAGCGCCTAATTGTAAAAAAAGTTATTCTAAAAAAGGCTGGACAAAGTGTAAAATAACTCACGAGTACTATGACGAGCTAGAGGGAAATACTACTGACCACAGCCGCCAACCCAAAGGTGATTGGGTTACTGACTAGTTTTATAAGGGTTCGTACATTGCTAATATTTAAAACCAATGTAGTGATATATCTTGCAAAGCAATTGAATCAAGGCTTATTGTTTTGCTAATTTTACTTTGGGTGCTTAAGAAAAATGTAACTTCAGTTTACGTATCAAGGTGTGCATCATCCGATGTATGAGCCAGCCATTTTCTTAAGACGTAAAATTCGAAGTTTATGTCACGTTTTAATAAACTCATTTCCCTTGGCTCTGAAGTTATGTAAGACCATAAATTACATTATGACGCATAGGGTTGAAAACTACGGCTTTCTTGGGAGCGGGGTGTATTTCTAATTAAATCAAAATAAATGCACAGATAAAGTTCCTGAAAGTACTTTCCTTAAATAAATTTGAACTTTAAGTTGAGGAGGTACTTTGCAGTTTGTAGACTAACAATAGTTCAATTCTTACTTCTAACATTCGGCAACACGTAGCTCCCCAAGACTTCCATAAAGATAAAAGCAAACATAATCCTCGAATAATGGCATGCCCAAAACCCATGAGCAAACGAAAATTAACGCATAACAGAACCACTCTCCTCTTTTAAGTTTCGTTTTCAGGGTTCCTCTTGGACAGCTTCCCACTTAAACCATCACAAAGTAATTTTAGATGCAGGAAATGTCCATGCGCTAGTAATTGGGTTTTCATAAAATTGAAAAATTATTGGATTGCAATATCACTGACTTCTTTGAACAATTCCACTGGACCTGGGGTTTCGTTCTGTACAATAACTGGATTCTAAGAAGGCGAATTTGCTAACTATCAACCTTGTCCATTTTGAGTCATAGAGTCAGTAAGCGGAGGGCAGGATCACCTGATGAAGGAAGCGGGTTAACATGGCTCCGTGGGGGTTAAGCTTTGGATTCACTTCTAAGTTCTTGCCTTTTACCCACTTAGGAGCTGCTCAGCTATGCCTATCTGGGTCCCGCCTAGCTAGTAGAGAAGTGGCGGAGGTATCGCGAGTCCACACAGTTGATATTTTTATGCAGATAAAGTTGACAGCTTGTAACAAACTTTCAGGTAGTTCGTGAAGGTGGCTAGTGTTGCTCTAGTTGTTAATAGCTTTACTGTGGAACATGGCACTAGGGTAGTTACCGAAGCTTGACATCATTTTCAGCCCTTCTGCTGGGTATCGTCACGCATTGTTTCGTCTACAGAGCAGACACCTTACCGTCACGCCAAGGTCTATCACTTGGCAACAAAAACCATGGTAGTCGTCATTTAGAATAGGCTCGGCTTTTCGCTAATAGCATTTTAACCCTGCGTGACTCTCCTGTAGACGAAAGAAGACATAGTAGTCGGGCGGGGGGTACATTGTCGACGTGCATGAAGTCCAAGGCTACTCAGTGACCCATTACCAAAACCGAGAGTTGAACTAACAATTGACGCATTACAAAACGGTGCACATGCACGAAATTTAGTCTTCATTAAGATCTGATCCCGTGAATGTAGGAAGCGGGTTCCAGATTATCAGGCATTAAATCTGTGTTCCGTTTGTGTTTTTTACAAAAATAGTGCACACACGAACCGTTGTTGCCTATTTTTAATATTCAAAGCACTCGGCAACATCGTTTCAACTTATTAACTAGGACAAAGATAACAGAATGAATATGTATGCGTAGTTGTTTAGAGACTCGAAATCAAGCATGCCAAGCTAACTTGAAGGATAACAGAATAAGTCTTCCAGACTTCATAGAAATCGTGCATATGCGCTGACGGCAGTTATCAGATATCGCTAACAGCTGAGGTATAGAAAGAGGTGTGCTGTCCTCCTCTTTTGTGCATATGGGTTTTAACTCGTCCGCAAAGGTTGAGCAATCATCGGTTGGCATTGCAATGCTCGAAGTCTCAAATTCACCAAATGCATGGTTACTGCCTCATTTAATTCAGTCGTTCCGACCGTAAGAAGAAGTGCTGTTTATTGGAAAATCACTTGCACGAATTATTTCGTAACAGTCGAATGCGGGCCTTTCATGGCTATGGAATACCTTCTAAATACAATGCCTATTTTAATGAAACGCCAGAATGACAGCAGCTTTATTTGAGAGTCTCTTGAGCCAGCTAAGGCTTGGTAAACCATCTAACCATCCGTTATTGCAACTGAAGCAATGGATTGCATCGACGCTCACCAGTCCTATGGCACCTGCATTTTCTTGACGGCGGAGATGCAGGTCCATCATCATCAAAGCGTTTGTAGTTCAGAAACAAATTGTCCCCTTAAAGAAATTTGTATGCATAAAAATAAACACTTAGAAGGATCTGCGCAATTTTGATAGACACGCGCTTCTTTTGGCTTCCGGTTGATAATAATAAGCACAATCGGAAGGATAAAGGCATGCTAGAAATGAACACCAGACCTGCTTATTCTAGGGTATACCGGTCCCAGCTGTGACATCATTAGAGTTAAACAAGTATGTGCAAGGAGAATATTCCTATGACTCAGAAATTTGCCTTTCTGTCGAGGTAGTGACGATGGTACACATCAGATACTCGTCGAATCATCACTTCGCAATCGAAAGCAAACGAGGGGCCAGTGAAACACCACCATCAAGCATGTGCTACCAAGGCCGAAATGAGGTATAGGAAGCAGTTGGAGTGTCCAAGTCTACAGGGAATGATCAAGGATTTGCCGCGTGAAGTTTCGCAATGACAATCTGGTAGGGGTAGAAAAGATCCACCTGGTGAATTGAGGGGTCATTGGCTACAACAGACAGGCAAGAGCTATGACTACTCACCATTTAAAATGTACGAGAGACCGAAATGGCAATTCTAACCAGTAATGGATGATGGGTCGGAAATGTCCGTTACTGCAAGGAGCAAATTTTGAGTGCAGTAACAGACTAACTTGAAAGCTAGCACTGCAGCTCTAGAGGTTGTAATGGACAAGTTCACATAACAAGAGGTCAAGTAATAACTGCACTCTCATAAATGTTCTTTTGCACACAAAAGTGCATCAAAAAGTCTATTTGATTGGCATTGTTTAGCTGCTTTTCCTTAACCCACTCTCTCCAATCCCTTAACTTCTGCATGCACATCAGTCCCTGCAGGCTGTACTTCCACTCCACGCTACCGTCCTGTAGAGCATTAGTGACATTCCAACTCTCCTGTACGCCGGTAGTTAGTATGGTCTTCCACACTCCTCGGGCTGTTTACGACTGCAGGAGAGAAGTTAAGCAACCAAATTATTGGCTGAAAGAATGACCGAAAATGTACAGAAATGCCTTTAAAGTGTGACAACATGCCAAGGGATCTCCTAAGGTTATAGTATTTATGTAAATCTGTTGAGGATACTTGCAGCACCTAAAAAGCCTTCCACTCCCACTTCGCAAGGTTTACATTTTCGCAGCTGATTCACAAGCAACCTAGGGTCATGCTTTAGCTCAATCCATCCTGATTAGCTAAGGTCACGTATTGCTGCACTTTAATCGCACCAATCATCACCCCAACACCAAGGTCAATCATCTACTATAAGTAGGCCTATTGAAATTCACCAACTCAGACTCGAATCCGGGCTCCGACTCAGACGCAGACTGAGACGCAGTCTAGGACTCAGACCCGGGTAGCCCAGTCAAACTGGTGGCCGAGGTCCTACACGCTCACTGTATCTCCATCCACTTACTCATATGCGTTGGTAAATAAATGCCTCCACAATGAAGTCTCTTCTGTTATTGCCTATTAGGTCGGGAGCACGAAGGAAACCAGGTCTGCGTACAATCAACACTAGTTTGTAACAAAGTCCTTTCACAATTCACCTCTGGCCATAGTCGCGTTTTGAGAACCAAAGCTGTATTTTACAGAAATGCGAGTAGATCAGAGCAGAAAGGGAGGCAGCCTGAAAAATAAAGAAAAAGAGAACAATGATCTACTACATTTGACAAGAGTTCGACCGCAAGTCAGTGCAGCCGAAGAGTAGAATACCCCACTAATTGGGCCGTCGTTTACGGTCGCTTTACTGTGTATGTAGCTCTATTTCCTTGAGGACATTAAGTCAGCCGCCCTTAAAGGAAATTTATGCTTAATGTGGGCCGATATTTACATACAACGGCCACTCCGCATTTACGTCACACTCATCACACGCTTGTCAGGTAGTGCTGCCCTCCGACCACTTCTTCACTCCACACATTCTTACCGCGAGCACTACCTAATCCGTGGTGGATTTCATCTCCTCTGATTTCGCATCCACATTCACCGAGACCACGAACTCCCACCCATGTACTGAATGAACGCCTTTGCTCCACCGACTTCCTACATACGGAAGTAGGACTGCAAATGATCGCCTGTTGTGAGTGCATTTGATGAGGGGAGAGGGTGAAGGTAAGAAAGGAGGGGAAAGGGGGAGATGAATGAAAAGGAAAACTAGGCGATTCCAAAGGGTTGGGGTTAGGAGGCGGAGTTAGGTCATTCAGTCCATAACGTAGAAATACAATTGTAAGTTTAATTCACTGCTCCACACACACTGATTTCCGAGTCGGTTTTAGCGGAGTTAAGTAGTAATTGTTCTGATCATCACCTTTTTTTTAAAGGAAATGCTCCTGTTTAATAAACGCTGGTAAAACTAATGGCTAAATGCAGCATTGTTGGTTTGCATTGCGTAAAGCTACTATTGCCAAGAAATCTTTTACTGAAGGCCATTCATGTGGCTCTCCGTAGGTGGTTTGGAAGGCTCAGCTGGGAAACTTATACACAAAGGCAAAAGATTGGTTTGTTGCCTGAGAAAGATAATATAAAGGAGAAGCAGCACCATTGAGAGGCTCTGGGGATCAAAATTATCAACAAATGCCCGAAGCGCCAAACAAAAATTGAGACAATTTCACACTGAAGTGTGGATAATTGAAGCATTTCAACTAGGAAGTAGACGCTGATGGAAATGTTGACTCCACGCCTCTCATCATTGGGAGATTGCAAAACCTGTTCTAGTAGATGCTCCTGCAATGAGTAATTCAATGAAGGAATAGCTACTCTATGGAGCTTCCTCCGGGCTAAAGTTAAGGTAGATACATAAACAAAACTTACTTTATAACGCTGTTGGCCAGTAGGGCGTGAGGGGTTGACAACTTCTGTTGAGTCTGCAGGACACATTAATGGGACATTAAATCCGCAAAGCTGACAATTATTGTAGCAATATTTGCATTAAAGTGGATGCGAAAGTGGTTCCACCACTGCCTGTATGTATACGCATGGCGATAAAATATTTAAGGCATTTCAACTGTGATGCGAGAAATGGCACGAGTTAAGCAAGTACTGCTCATATACTACTCATGCGACAGCAGCAAGTAGTTGATTTGTTGTCTGCTTAAAACTATGCCACTAGTCTCCTCCGTTTGATTTCAGCGTCAACTTGAGCATCATGTCTGAGACCCAGCATGAATGTAGGTCAGCTAGTCGCTGATGCATCACGCTTCGCCTTAGTGTCTCCCTTCCTCTTACTTGACGCACCAGGTGGTAGGACATTGGAGTTTAAGAGCAAAATAGGTTCCTTGTCCAAAAATCACACACTTTGTCCGCATTCCCTGCTCCCCTACTGTTGTGACAGCGCTACCGTCCGCAACGCAGATGTACACAGTCTAGGCGATTCAGCAAGGGCCTCCCTACAATGGACTATGGTTTTCCGCTAAATACTCTTGTCTAACATCTGGGTGAGCGACTCTTGTGTTTGGACGGATTCCCATAGCCAAAATGCCTAACAACTTGCCGTCTTCAGTGCATATTTGAGCCACGCAAGTGAGCCCACGTCTTTGACTGTCAGTTTGGAATGTCCTCCATACGCTTTGTTGTCTCTTTCTGTTTACACTTACACGTAATTACCGCCTGCGCGCTTCTCGGCACACCGGAGTAATGTTGTTGCTTTAACGGTATTTGTGCCTCTGTGGCACGCACTCGCGTGCCTCAGTATTGCGGCAAATGGCAACCACACTGTCCTAATGGAATACTCAGGAGATTGTCGCGACAATGAAGCTACTTCCGCCTTACGCATTAAATACTTGGTACCGGTAAAATTAATGCCTCATAAATGAGCAGGTGACCCTTCTAACGACAAAACACTCCATTGTGTAGGGATTGGTCGATATTGGTCACACCCTATTGGTTGATTGGAGCGGCCACATTTGATTGACCGATTTTGGGTTAGGGACTCGCTATCTGCCAACTAGGCGAAAGGCATTTTCTTCCACCATCAAAGCGCATACGGATGCAATTTTAAGCAGCGACAGTGACGACTACTAGTTTCGTCGTGCATGCACATTAACAAAACGGTAGCTGGAAATTTCACACCAGTTAATATTTAACTCAAGCCCCCTAAACCACTTTGTTGTTGCAAGGCATTAGGCAGGATAGGTAGATTCAAAATCCACTGTATTTTAAGGCTGGAAGGCGATAAACTGAGAAAAGAGTCATATGCCTCTGTGAATCCCTAAAACCACTTTTTGTGGACAACATGGTGTGAAGCAGGGCGAAGAAAAAGCAATGCAAATGATGATTAGAATGCTCCTTCTCATAAGTCATATTCTCCTCTAAAGTCAATTTCACTTTTATTGTTCAGTTGCTCTTCCTTAGCACACTTTCTTTACTCTGCCCAACACTAACGGCACTTCAGTCTTCGCTGAATGTACTTCCACTCTTTGCCACAGCCTTCGGACAGTACTAGTGGCTGGTGGCCTCCCAACATCTTCCACAATCCACGGGCCAATTATGTCTTTGATTGAAATTCTATTCAGACAAATTGTTAACCTCAAACAATTCTCAGAACTTTCTCGAGTTCCCTTAGAGTTCAACAACTCGTGAAGGGATTCCTCACGATTGTAGTAAGCATGCAAATGAACTACAGGCGCCTTCAACCACAGAAAAGCTTTCCTACCCCACTTTCTCCACGTTCGCCTATTCGCAGACAATCCACAAGCGTGCTGGAGAGTCGTGTCTCTGTCCACTCCCTCCTCATTGGCTCAGATCACGTCTACCTGTACTTGAAGCGCGCCAATTGGTACCCTAACACCCATCAACTAACACCAATCGCTCATGCCCAATTAGGTGGTTGGGGTGGCCTTAAATGACTGGCCGATCTCTGCTTGGTAACAACAGAGGATCAGGTGGCAGTTAGGCGTTTTCGGATATCACTGAGACGCATGTAGGAGTGTCAAGCGACAGCGCTGGCAACAACTACTTCCGTCATTTTAGCTTGTTTGAGAACTGGAGGCTTTCGATGTTTCGCCATTGAATTTCTCAACTCAAGCTACTCCATCCATCTGATTGCTGTGGGAAGTCAGGTAGACTTACCAGACTGATACGAAGTGTATTGTAAGGTTTGGAGAAGATAGCATGGAACAAAAGCCGTGTATCATTGTCAAGCCAAGCTATCCATTTCAAAAGTGCAGTTGGGGTGAAGGCGAATGGAGATAAATGCCTTTCTCCATGCATATAATCTGTACACAATCTTAGTTAACGGATAAGTAAGTAAAAAGTGTTTTGTCATATTCATTCAAAGAAACACTCAGCATCGCTGTGAACGATGCTGCACCTGAGGAGGAGAAGACGCATATCTTCTTAACAAATAAAACGAAACAGAGGCTGGAATGCCGAATCTGACGTCAAGATGAAGTTGGGCACACTGTGTACCTGATCAAATCAACCAGTGACGGTGGACATGTTTATCTGACAAGAAGTTGAAAAATCAACTCCGCTCTCATGAATGCCCTTTTTCAGATGACACGATTTCCTTAAAATGCCTATTTTATTATTATTAGCGTTCAACTGATATTCTAAAGCACACCTTCTCCACTCAGTTGACTTCTGCGGACACATCAGTTCCCACAGCTTGTGCTTCCAATCCACCCCACGGTCCTGTGCTCGCACTATTGGTACTTCGAATCTCCCAAACACTCGGGTTAGTTATGACTGCAGAAGAGAAGTTAGTCGACCAAAATAATGGCCTAAAGAATGGCCTTTAATGTCTAGAAATCACCAAAATTATGGCAAATTCTAAAGGCTCATTTAAGATTACAATGATTGTGCAAATATACTGGGGATGCCTACACCTCCCACCCTCAAATGAATGCATTCCTCTCCGTTATTCTCAAGGTTTCCATTTACGCGGCTATTTCACACACATTACAGATAGTCGGGCACTCAGTCCTTCCTGATTGGCTAAAATCAAGTCTTGTGGCACTTTAAACACACACTCATGACCCCAACACCAAGGTCAATCACTTACTATAAGTGGACTCATCGAAAATCAGTGACTCAACCTCGGACTCGGACCCAGACCCGTACCCGAACCTCGACTCAAGCTCAGAGAAGAGCAGGCAGGACCAGTTAGCGGTCGGGCGCCTACACACTCACTGCATTTCCTTCTCCTTACTCATCTGTGTCGGTAAATAAATATCTCTACAATGAAGTCTCTTTCCTTATTGCTCATCAGGTTGGGAGCACGAGGAGGAACAGGCCCACTTGCAATCAACACTAGTTTGCGGCAAAATCCTTCTGCAATTCACCTCTAGCCACAGGCCCATTTTTAGAACATAAATTGCGCTTTCCAAAAATGAGAGTATGTCAGAGCAGAAAGACGGACAGCTTGAAGCATGCAAAACGATGTTCTGAGTTCTGATTTGTTTGACAAGCGTTCGACTGCAATCAGTGTAGCCGGAGGGTGGAATACACGACTAACCGGATCATAGTTTATGGTTGCTTTATTGCATGTGTAGATCTGTTTACTTAAGAGCACTCTATTATGCTCCGCCACTATCAAGTACTCCTCTACCTGATTAGATTCCTCTCCACCATATGTAATCAACAATTTGGGCATATCTATTGTCTGCATGCAAACAAAATCTCCTTAAATGGGTTTGTGGCAAAAGGAGTTACGAATGAAGAGGATGTCACCATTTCAAGTGCCCAGAAATAAACTTTTACACCACAATGAACTTAGCGGAAGGAGGAAGGTCAATCAAAGGGTACAGGAGACTACTTCGAAACGGGTGGAAGACACTTGGGAAGCCAAAATACACTTTACCAATGACAGTCCAATCACTTAATGGGAATAAATGGTACAACAACGTCGGTGGCAATGTCTCTCAACTGCAAATATTCAGTTGTGTCTGTTAGTTCTTCCACGGGCAGTAGCTGAAGGCACTTCTCCACTAGAAACATGCAAGGCAGTATTCCTTGCTACAGCCATTTTTGGCAGGGCCGAGCATCAGGCAAACCTTGGCAATGTAGACTTGCGGTCCATCACAATTCAATGGCATCAACCCGCTTTTTCATTCAACTATGTACTTCATTCTGCAAGGCACAATCCCCTTCCAACTAGCCCTCTTCTACTCCCACCCACACTCCTCCTTCCACCTACACGCCAAACAATCTGGAGCTGACAAATGACGCTCATTTGACAAGTCTACTCAATTGAAAGCAGCCAAAACGCTTGCTTAGCGTGAGCTACTCCACACAGAACTATTCCATCTGCCTATCCCGCACAGTCGATACTGGTCGGGGTGCATTTTCGTCACTCCTCACACACTTGTCAGGTATGTGAGGAGTGACGATCACTCCTTCATTCCACACATTCTTACCGCGAGCACTACCTAATCCGTGGGTAGATTTTACCTCCTGTGATTTCCGCATCCACATTCACGGAGACGACGAACTACCACCAATGCACTGAATAAACGCCTTTGCTCCACCGACTGCCTACTTATGGAAGTGTGACTGCAACTGATCGCCTGTTGTGAGTGCTTCGGATGAAGGGATAGGATGGAGATAGGAGATGAGGGCAAGAAAAGAGATGAATAAAACGAATACGCCAAGCATCACATCTCGCTCACATTCACTGTTCGTTCATTGAGGTAATAATACGTGCAACAAGCTCATTCGGCGGCACACAATGCTAGGACTAGGAGGGCACGAACAGTAGCACTGCCCCACTACGTAGACGCCACCTACGTGGTCGCTACACGCTCCAATCCACTCGAACATGAACCCACCACCAAACACCTTTCGCCTTGTGAGTTGATACCACTGCGCCCACATCAGTACTCCTATAGCCACGTGCTTTCCCCTCCTCTGAGAGTGACATCCTCAACAATTGCTACTTCATTGAATGCACCTCCTGACTTCGTGCTTCCCACTAACTAAACCAACCGCCTTTCAACAACTTGCTATGCACATTCCCACCTACTACTGAACTATTGACCCGGTGATTAGAAGACGCATCCACACAGTCTGCTCGTGACACTGACACTGCCATGACACTCCTCCAGGAAATGGCCCACACAGCAGCATGTTTTCCATTCCATATTCCCACATACCACTTTCAATGTGAAAAGAGACTGCACAGTTAGGCAAAGGGTTAGATAGGCAGGCAGGCAGGCAGGCAGGCAGGCAGGCAGCTAGTTAGGTAGGTGGGAAGGCAGCACTACTTTAATGCCTTCGACACCGATGTTTACAAAGCATCATGCTGCACTGAGAAGTCAACTCTATTAGTCAGGGAAGAGAACTGACAAAGCGCTTGAATTTGGGGTCACTGAAGTAGCGTAGATCACTCACACCTTCAAACGCCCATCGCACCTCCTCCTCACTCAGCGGTCGTTGTGCATCACTCGTTGGTGCCATGTGGGCGCTCAATATCACGCTATCAGCAGGACAGTATTGTTGAGGTGGAGATACTTGTGGCACTGAAACTGCACTGCTCAATGTGCTGTCATGTTGTTGAGCACCAACTCGCATGGGATGCTGAGGCAGAGTGGAGACACTGGAAGGCAGGCACATTCTCGAGCGCGTTCCTTGACAATACAACTGTGATGTCGCGACATGTGCATTCACGTAGGCACCGTCGGCATCATAACCAACACCACTGCTATTGCCAACATTGCCACTACTGCTACCGCTACTGATGCCGTTGCTGTTACTGCTGTTGTTACTGCAGCTGGTGATGCCGTTACTGCCGTTGTAGTTGTAATTGCAGTTGCTGTTGCCTTGGCATCGATTCATTCTGTCAGGATTGGTTATGGAAAGAATTGGCAATGGTTACATCAAATGCACATATCAGTCACACCGAGACACCACGTCTCACCTGCAAACGCCTCACCCACCCGACATCACATCACTTGATGCGACGACCAGCCAAGTAAGCAGGCTTTTTTGCACGCTCGAACTCGTCACGCCCTCCTTTCCTCCCACGCTCGCCCACACACGCTACTCACCCATCCGCCTACAGCTGAATCATGCAACAATCCACCTTCCCTGCTTTACCCCTTCGTGAGCAAACAGACCCACGTTATCTAATCTACGATGATATTCATTCGCCTCATCATTGCCAACTCGAATGATCACCAGTGTGCAGGCGGCTTTCGGTGCCAACTAAACCACATTCCACTTCCTCTTTGCGGATCAATTCCTTTGCTGTCGACACGTGTGCTTGGGTAGCTGCACCCGCATTTCTTCTCAGTCCTTCTTGTTTGCCGCACCAAGGCATTTCATCGAGTTACCTCGGTCACAAACAGCACATGATCACCGCATCACAGGTTCATTGGCAAAAGTACTTCCAATAGGTGCACCCTCGAGGTGAGGCACACTGAAGAACCGGCATTCGTTGTGAGATTGTGTGCCTGCTCTCCTGCGTGTTGCTGCTGCACGAATGAGTAGTGAGAGACCGTATATGGACCAACGATCTGACAATGCCAAGATGGTGGACTCTCTCCCATTCAGGCATTTGAGTTGCCTTGATGCATATTCTGCACTAAAACCGCCTTCCTCTCAGCCATGCAGTTGTGCGCCCATGTTTCAGGGCAATCCCACCTCTCCTCTCTACTTCACTCCACCTCACCTCACCTCAATATACTCTACTCACTGCCTTCAACTCATCTCCCTGTCTCTGACATGACACCACTTCCCATTTCATTTGCAATGACCTGTCTCTTCATCCACATCCTGACGCATTCCTCACTTCATGAGATCCGCTTCATTACACACACAGACAGTGAATACATGCGTGCATGAAGGTTCAACGCATAAATGAATTAGCAATATGGGACAGAATGACTCGCGATTGAATGAATGAATAAAAAGGGAATAAACAAAAGAATGAATGCATGCATGTCTAGTGGGTGCTCAGTAGAAGTGGACAAAAAGAGCCACAGGCAAATATCGACAGCAGCAAATTCGAGACAATCTTACGTTGAGTGAGCAGGACCACCGAGATCCAACTGAACTCAACCACTGCCAATGGCGTTTGCAAATGGCTAACGCAACTGAGCAGTCACATTGCAATTCTACTTCACAGTTTACGGTCACGTGTCGTCATCCTCGTCGTCGCCAGTCAGGATGCGGGTGCCATCGATTTGACCGTCAAATGGCTGCTCCAGCTCAACCAGTGCCTTCTCATGTGCCACCACTCTCATTGGCCAACTACCACCACTACCACTACCACCGCCATCACCATCACCACTGGTTCAGTCTCACCAACCAGTCGACCACAAAAGTGTTGGCGTAAGCGAACATGCTGGTTGAGTCGTGGACACACCAAAACACATCAAAACAGACTACATGTCATCCACTCACCCTCACCTATGTCGCTTCCACTACTCTTCCCTGTGTGGCGGCATCATCTACACCCAGTCGTGGAATGCAATGGCTTGAATTGACAAGACATGGATGCTACACTCTGCTGTGAATATGTTGAGAGGTCTTTTGAGCTCAAGTTGCTCAACACGTGTGCCGTGCCATGCCCGTGCTTTTCCTACCCACATTCAACACTGGCGTGGACGTGAAACACTTCGCAAACCCGCTTTGTCACTTGAGTCAACTAAATGCCAACTGAAGAATACCCTCAATTAGCAGTTGCATTGCATGCATTCATTTCTCTCCTCATCTGTCGCCCAATGGAGTGAAGGTCTGATAACTAACCCCAGTCACTGGGCTAATTGAGGTGGTTGTGAGGTAGCTCAGACAGCCTCATCATTGGTCAAAATGAGCCCAGGTTAATGGAGACACTAGCAGAGGGTGAGGTG